ACCTCGGCCACTGTGTCCGCGTGGAGCGTCCAGATGCACGCAGACTGCGCAGACGGAGCCGACGCCGACGACGTCCAGGGCGGTCTGGACAGGCGGGGCGCGGCGGGCCGGGCCGGATGCGGGCGGGGCGTTGCCAGATTAGGACGAAAAGTGGCGGTAAATTACCGCGGTGAACCACCGGTAAAGCCCTGGCGGGCCCTGGTGCGCTGGGCGCTGTGCGCTGTGCGCCCGCACCGGGTTTATTGTTCCGTCCAAGTGATTACACTTTTACTGGAAGCTAGCGAAGCTAGCAGGCCCTCCACTGCGTCCTTGGGCACCGGGCGCCGGGCAGCACGGCGTCAACGGGTTATCGTCGCCAAATGTGTTAAATGCCGAGCTGGGCGGGGCGGGCCCGATGGCCGAAGTGGTAATTAGAAGTCGAGTGGGACCGGACCGGCACTTCGCGAAATCATTATCAGGCTGTCGGGGCGCCAAGTGAAGGCGGGCAGACGCGTCAACATGCAGCCACAGCCAGCCTCCAAACGAGCCAGTTCACTGCCAGTTCACATGTGGCGGGGCTGGCGGGGCTGGCAGCCAGCAGGCAGGGCGCTGATGCATGCATCACGCTCAGCAGCTGCGCGCCATATCGGCCGTATCGCCAAAGGCCCAAAGGGCCGCAGAAGGGCGGCGGGGCGGGCCGGCGTGCGACCAAACAAAACAGCCTAAATCTTGGCGTAGAAGGCGGCACGGCGGAGCGCGGGCCGGGACGAGGCCGTCTCCGTCTGTCTCGCGGCGACGTCGTCCCCGTCCCGTCTACCGCACATCTGCCATGTGGCCCTTCCCTTCCCCCGCCCCGCGAGCGTCCAATTGAGATACTTATAGGATCTGAGAGGCTCGGCCCGGCCTGGCCCGCTGAGACAGTGCGGGGCCGTGGCGCGGACCAAGGACAAAGCCACTTGGCAGAAGCCACCGCGTCCTGCTGCCGGCAGGCCCAGAGTCCTGGAAGCGTCCTGGGGGCGTCCTGGGGGCGTCCTGGACCGGAGGCACCATAAACAAGACGCACTAATTTGTTGAAGTTATGCGTCGGGAACGCCGCATCTCACCTCTGGGGCGAACGGACACACACAAACACAGAGGCACACACACACGTGCGCGTGCGACCGAGAGGGGAGCCGGGCCTATCCTTCCGTGGTGGTAAAGCTGAATTTAGATCAGTCGTCGAAAGGGCCCTGCCCTGGGCCCTGGGCGGCCTGGGGCTGCATGAGGGGCTGCCGCGCGTTCCCATGGCAACCGGGGCCTCCATGTAGGTACACCACGGACACGGAGCCGCCAGGCCGCCAGGCCCAGCGTCCGAGATAATGTCATAAAACACTTGACACGGCGGCTGGGCGTGCCCAGAGTCCCGCCGTCAGAGCCCCGTCCGTCAGGCCGTCAGAGCACTGTCAGAGCGCCCCAGGCGGAGGCATAGGTGCGCCCGGTACACCAGTGTGCCCTGCAAGGCCTCGCCCGGGCCGGCCCGCCCGACTGTTCAATCCGGTTCAAACGCCCATTGCCGCCAGGGCGGGGCCGCGCAGCCTGCAGCACAGGCAGTGCGCCGCTCTCCAGGCCGCGGTGCGGTTCGCGGCGCGGCTCGCCACGGCCCGGCGCGACAGCTAAAGGCCACTCGCAAGCATTGTGCTGTCGGCTGGTACCCGAGGTACCCGCAGGCAGGCCGTGCCTTGCCGTGCCTTGCCGTGCCTTGCTGTGCCTTGCTGTGCCTTGCTCGCTGTGCCTCAATGGCGCCAGGGCCGTATTAAAAACAAGACGATAAGTCGCGGCGAGCGCGGCCAGCCAGGTGGTGCACGCCGCACAAGCCGCTCAAGGCGCTCAAGGCGCGCAGGGGGGATCGCAAGTCACTGCGAGAGCAAGAAGAAGCGTCGCGGCGATGCGGACGCTGCGGAAAAACGCGATAAACAACCAGGAACCGTGACCTTGCAGCAGGGGAGGGGGCCCTTGCCGCGTGCTTGTGGCTGTGACTGTACCGCGGTACACCGAGAATGTGCGGTGTGCCTGGGTCGCGATAACACGATCACTATTTGTAGTGCCACGGCCACGTGGTGGCGGCAAAGCGGCTCTCCCTCCAGTTCCTCCAGCCGCCTGCTCCAGCAGTCGCACTCATTTCCAACTTGGAAATAACCGAACGAACCGCGCAGAGACGGAACACCGGCCCGGACAGCCTGGACTCCCCATCGACGCACGGACCGCACGGACGGCGCTGCTGTACACTGTAGTTACGCCCGTGCGCCGCCATGGCGCCGCCGGACAGGATTCCGGAGTCTGCAGTCTCCAGCCGGCTCCAGCCGCGCGCGTGCGCGTCGCGTGTCTCACGCCGTGGAATTGGCACATTCCAGGTACTCCACTAACGCACACGCGCAACGCCTCTGAGTCACCGCTGCGTGTGTGCGCGTGTGTGTCTGTGTGTGTTCCGATCAGCAGCGCCACGTGTGCAGAATCCGTGCCAGCCTCGCTGGGCCGCCGGGTCAGGGTCGAGGGGACAGCGGGACAGAGGGCAGTGAAGGGCGGAGAGAGCCCTGCACAGGAAGCGTTGCATTACGCCGCGGCGCATGCGGGACCATGCAGGGCAGGGCGTGGCGCAGCGCGCAGGTGGCACGGCCGCCGCCGGCACACTGGTAGACTCAACACCGTGTTTATTGACCCTCCCTGGAGACTGCAAGCGAAGGAAGGGTCAGCACACCGTCAGCACCACGGTGGAGCACAAACCGCGAACCGCGCCCCACGTCGCCAGCTGCCTGTGGTGGCCGCGGGCCGCCACTTGCAGTGTGCAGTCCGAGCCGAGGGCGAGGGCGGCCGCGCGGCCCCGCGGGGGCAGCCCAGCCGGCCGGACACACGATCCGCGCCACTGCCAGTCTGCCAGTCGCTCGGCGAATCAAAATGCAGACTGCTGCGTCTCCGTCCCGGTCCGTCCCGGTCCGTCCCGGTCGGCCAGGGCGAGGGCGTCACCAGGGCGTCGACCGCCAAGGGCCGCGTCAGTCCTGGGGCGCGCGGCGGCGCGGCGGCGCGGCGGCGGTGCGAGGAGACCAGAGGAGACCGCTTTGCCTTGCCGGCGGCTCTAGCGCTGCCACGCGGAAGCACCGCGCGCCCCGGACACTTGTTGCTTCCGGCCTCGGCGTGCCGGTGGCGTGCCTCTGCCTGGCGTCATCGCGAGGGCCCCAGGGACGAAGTACGCGGAGCAAGCGGGGCACTCCGAAGGGAAGGGCCGGAACAACCGTTCCGAACGGGCGGAACGGGCGCAACGGGCCACGACAGCGGGCCGAAAGCGGACAATCGGGCCAAGCCGATGGCTGATGCAACTGGCCCGCCGCTTGCCGCTTGCGCATGGCGCGCCTCTTGCCCATCACAATGGTCGCGTCGGCCGCGTCGCGACTCCGGGGAGCGAAGGGAGGAACAGGAAGGGTGAAGGGTCTGTGAACTTGCCGCGCTTCCTGGCTGATGTAAATCCCTCCGGCATTGCGGCCCTCGGTCCCCTCGGCGGGCTCTCCTCGCACCTCGACGGGACGCCAGGGACGCCCCACGAAGTGCGAGAGAGACAGAGCACCGCCGCCACCCCGCGCCGTAGTGCCGTAGTTCGACACCGTGCGGCCGTGAGCCGTTCGTAGAGATAGGGCCACGGCCAGGCCACGGCCTCAATCCCGAGCTGCACTCGTTCAAACACGGCGCCGGGCAAACACGCCAGGTGCGCATCTATTCCGGGGAAGCGGCGCATTGTCACACGGCCGAATGCAGAGCAAGGCGAGCAAGGCGGGCACTGGCGCAGCCCCGTTCACTCAGTCTCTCTCGCACTCGCGGTGTCCCAGTGCGACAGAGGCAGAGTACTACCGAGTAAAGGTGCGGAATCAGTCTCGGTGTCTGCCTGGCCGCTGCTTGGTCAGTCTGGTCCTCGCGGCGGTGAGTCACCGCCTGCACCACAATGCAGAATGCACCAATCGAAAGCGAATCGAATGGAAACGAGACGTGGAGAGGGACTAAACGGACTACCTGTCCAATCCTGTCGAGTCCCGCTGTGACTCTACCTGCCTCGAGAGGTGTCGGTCGGGGAAGGGCCAGAAGGGTGTCGATGATGGGGTTCGTGGGGCATCCCCGGCATCCCTCGCGTTTCCGGCTAAGCGCTGAGCATCGCTAGCGCTGTCGTTTCCCTGGTCGGGGGATGCGGACTGCAGTACCGTACTTCCCTTGACGACAGCGCTAGCGCCTCGGCCAGCGCCCTCCCCGCTATCAAGGGCTTCCAGGAAGCCATGGCCCTGGGCGTGCTGGGCGGGCCGGGCGCGACCCACGCCGTTCTGTTCTTCGTCGCCTCGCCACCCGCGCCGCGCTGCCCGCGCTGCCTGACGAGGCGGCGAGGCGAGGTGACGCTTGCGATTAGCGTCCGCCATGTTTGGCAGGGAATCCCTGAATCCCCAGCCGGCCAGCCCCCTTTCTTTTTCACGGCGTGACGCGCGCGGTCCTGGAAGCAGGCCCGCTGGAGGCCCGCTGGAGGCACGCTGGAGGCCCGCTGGAGGCACGCTGGAGGCACGCTGGAGGCCCGCTGGAGGCACGCTGGAGGCACGCTGGAGGCACGCTGGAGGCACGCTGGAGGCCCGCTGGAGGCACGCTGGAGGCACGCTGGAGGCCCGCTGGAGGCCCGCTGGAGGCACGCTGGAGGCACGCTGGAGGCCCGCTGGAGGCACGCTGGAGGCGAGGCGTTGACGCGGCGAGCGGCCCACTTCCAGGCCTTCCAGGCCTTCCAGGCCGCGGTGGGATTTGGAGCCGCAGCTCGACTCCGCCTCGGCCGGGCCGCCAATAAAACAGCCTTGATTGAATAAAACCAATGAATCGTCTCGCACAACGAGGCCGGACGCGCGGTAGCCGCGCGGTAGCCGGGCCTCTGGCGGCAGCCGCCAAGCCCAGTGGCGGTGCCGAGGCGGTGCCAACTGGAGAGGGGAGGGAGGGCGGGGGCATAACTGCAGGCGTCTTGTGCGTTTATTCGTCGCCGGGTCTTCGAGCCGGCTCGAGTGCGGTTCGCATAACTGCTGCGTTCGCGACCTCTTTCCCGTTCGCCGACTGCGCGTTGCTTCGCGTCCATGCTGGCCGTCGTAGTCGCCATAGTCGCGCACCGCGAAACCCAAAGCCCTTCTCGAGCCCGGCAGGTGCATCGCCTCCTCCTACATCGCGCTGTGTGCCCCGGGGCCTTGCCGCCAGCACCGCCAGGCCCGGCCTGCGAGTGGAGCTGCGGGTAGCGGCTGAACCAGGTAGGGACCCAACCTACAGGGCCTGCCAGCCGGGCTGCCCGCCCGAGTGCCAGTCCCCGTCGGGAAGGCAAGGCAGGCAGCCGGGACCGCCTTGCCTGCCAGCTGTGCCTGGCCGTCTACCTGATCCTCTGGAGCTACTGGAGCGCGCCTCGCGGCAGGCCCTGGAAGCAGCGAGTTCCTGCTCGTCCTGCTGGATCGGCTGGACTCGGCGCGCTCGGCTCGGCACGGTTCGGAGGAGTGCCAGGCAGGCAGGCAGGCAGGGCAGGCAGGCAGGAGTGCCAGGACAGGGGCCAGGGCAGCCAGGACGGACGGACGGAGTGGAGTGGTATTTACTCAGGTGGAGAGACGGCACAAAGAAGGGCCCCGCTTGGCCTTCTACCTCTACGCTGACGCGTCTCTGTTTCACAAATTTAGTCCAAGTCGGTACGCTGCGGGTACCTCGCGCCCCGCACCTCGGGTACCTCGCAGTGCGTCGCGAGTGGAAATGACGTGAAATCTGTGATACACATCCTGGATACGCTCTGAGCGGAAACGGAGTGCCCGAAGCCGACCCCTTGGTAGGTAGTCCGGGCGGTGCTCGGGTACCTTGCGTACCTTGCGTACCTTGCGTCGGTGTCCTCTTTCTCCCCCTCCCAACTGGCACCACGGATTTCTCCAGGAATGTGGAACCTCTAGTGAAGTGATAGGGAAACCCTGAGGAAAGAGGTTGCGAGAACGGAGTCTATAGTGTGAGATGCAAGAGATGTGTGCAGTGCATGTGGAAAGTCAGTGAACGGAGTGTGTAGTGCAGTGCAGTGCAGTGAAGTGAAGTGAAGTGCGCGAGTGGGTGGGGGTGTTAGTAAAGCTTTGTGGAATGGTCGAGGGGGACTTTTTGAACGCTGGGGAAATGCTGGAGCCGGAGAGGAGGGCGGTGCAGTGTGCAGTGGCGCGGAGTAGTTTCCCGAGCGTTGCAAGAACGTTGCAAGAACCGAAACACGGATAGGAGTAATGGCGGCGCTTTGGTCGTCTGCAGCACACAATCTGATGCACTAGCCAAAGAAAGATTCTAGAAATTAAGGAGCTCAATTAAACTTTGTCAGAGAAAACATTCTTCAGAAATATAAAAGCTAGTAAAAAACAAAATATTGTAAAATGTGATTTCTTTTTAAAACAAAAATTATTTGTTACAGGAATCAAGTGTCTGTAACAAACAACAACAACAATGGCAATCATTGGACTAGTCTCATCCCTGGCGGGATTTGTCAAGGTTCGATACCTGATAGATAAGGCCATTATTGACAACATTGTGTTCCGTTGTCACTATAGAGTCACTTCAGCAATTTTGTTCCTGTGTTGTATCATTGTCACTGCAAACAACCTAATTGGTGAGTCAAACTTAATTTTTTGTTTTGGAATATATTTGTTCCTTCGTGTTTACTGTAGTGACATAAATTTCTAACAATTTGATTTTGTATTGTAGGTGACCCCATTAGTTGCATCAATGATGGAGCAGTACCAGGCCATGTGATCAATACGTATTGTTGGATTACATACACTTTCACTCTACCTCACGAACGAGGACAGCCAAAAGGCTCTCATGTGGCTCACCCTGGTCTTGGAAACTATGTTGATGATGAGGATGCACCTAGGTATCACTCATACTACCAGTGGGTGCCATTCATGCTTTTCTTCCAGGTAAGTGAACAATCTTTCTGAATGAGTGAATTCAACTTAAGAGATTGCAAGAAGATTAAATCTTATGTTTCTTTAAAGGGAATCCTGTTCTACGTCCCCCATTGGATTTGGAAGAACTGGGAAGAGGGCAAAGTAAGAATGATCTCTGACGGCATGCGTGGTGCCATGATTGGCCCCAAGGAAAATCGTCGGGACAAAGTGAGCCGCCTAGTCCAGTACATCATGGACACACTCCACATGCACAACTTCTATGCTTCTGGCTACTTCATCTGTGAAGCCTTGAACTTTGCCAATGTGGTGAGTAAACTAAACTAAAAATTGAATGATACTGAAGTGAAGTATTTCCAAATACTAATGCATGGTAAATTTGCAGGTTGGCAACATCTTCTTCATGGACCTCTTCCTCGGAGGTGCTTTCCTCACCTATGGCACTGACGTTATTCGGTTCTCCGGCATGAACCAGGTACTAGCTTACTCAAATTTTATGGGGGTGGAAGCTATTCAAAAGTTGCTGTGGCTAACTTAAACCAAAATTCGTTTTCAGGAAAATAGAACAGACCCCATGGTGGCAATTTTCCCAAGAATGACCAAGTGTACCTTCCACAAATATGGTGCTTCCGGCAGCTTGCAGAAACATGACGCATTGTGTGTTTTGGCCCTCAACATTTTGAATGAGAAAATCTACATTTTCTTGTGGTTCTGGCTGATTGTCTTGGCTGTCATGTCGGGCATTGTCCTGCTGTACAGCTCAGCTTTGGTTGTCTTGCCATCTGTTCGAGAACTTGTCTTGAAGTGGCACTACCGAGTGGGCTCGCAATCAGAAGTGGCATTGCTGACCCGTAAAACACAGGTAATACAAAAAAGACTTAAATGTACTCGATTTTTTCTTAATGGAGCAAATTGACTAACTGAATGGTTTTTGTCACTTTTGTTCCAGATCGGGGACTTCCTGCTTCTTCATTTGCTGAGCCAAAACATGAACATGATGGTGTATTCAGAAGTCCTAACTGAGTTGTGCAACAAGATGTACAATGGGAACAACCTTCCAACGGCACCTTCAACATTAGAACTTTCGCCAATATATCCATCAGAAAAGCTGAGCAAAATGGGGCGTGAGACTGAAGCATAGTGTGAGTGTTATAGAAGGACACTTAAATCTTCCATTATGTTAGTTATTTGAGTCAAGATCTTATTCCTCTGTTGAAAAAAGTTGAAAATTGTTTATTTTTGTATTAGTTTGTTGACAGAGTGAATCAAAAGTTACTTTCAGAGTGATGAAATAATTTCTAGTGTATTTTATATATTTTTAATGTCATTTCCATGTGTGATTGGGTGTCTGCTTGTGAATGTGTATATCTGCGTGAATGGTGTAGAATGCATGTGTGCCTGGATGATTGTAAAAACAAGGTGCTCCAACAATACAAACTGAATCTACTTATACTAAAATGTATGAATTGTAACTGCAATTATAGTAAAATATTGTGTACTGTGCTTGAACAATACATACTTGATGATATGACAATTAATTTGTTATTTGACCATAGGATGCACATCCTACATGTTTTACTGCCCAGTTTATTCTATATATGATATTAGAATGTAATCATTTAGACTTGTTTTACTTTCACATTCTTATAGTAATTGCTCATGAAGAGGGAACGATAGAAAGAATTGTGATGTAAGACATTTAATACGATCTCTACCTGATAGCTAAGATTGTGTTCTGTTTTAATTAAACGATGGTTTGAGCAACTGCTTTAGTTTATGATAAATTTTCATGTTACAAGCTTACCACAAAATGTATTTAAGAACGTTGACTAATCTATGATGGATTCCATATTTTTGTCTATGTAAATATGCAATATGCAATGAACTTAAAATGTTTTTTGAGGTCATTGGTTTAGAATATATTTTTCCACTGTCATTGCATCAGTGATATAAAGTGTTTCATTAACTGCCTAGCACAAATGTGCCTTGTTAGCTTTTCTGTGACAGACAAAAGTGATATATTGAGTTATGATTTCTTTTTTTTTTTCTTTCTTAGACTTGAATGTGCCACTTTTGTATTTCTATAAATAAAGTTATTTAAATTTTTCTTCATTATATTTGAGTGTTTCACATAATTTTAATAAGACACTGTCCCCCATACACTTATCCAGAGGCTACAGGAATGGGAAAGGAGTAAGCCTCAAATCTGTGATGAATCTAAGCCTTCGAAATTGAGACGCATGTACTCAAAGATAAAAAGGAGAAACTCAGCCTAACCGTCAGAGTCAATTGCCCTTGCCCACCCTTCTATTCAATCCTAATATGGCCACCATGCACAACCTTTTTGAAAAACAGTGTGAAAATGGAGGAAGCTTACCTGTTGCCCCAGTCGATCTTTGCTGTGATCTTCAGTTTCAACTCTCGGGTCTGATCTTGAGTAAGGGTTCCAGTCAGAAGTTGTCTTCTCCAATCTAGGAGGTCTCTCATTACTTTCCTTAAGGTGGTAAATTTGTAAGTTTCCCTATCCTGAAACCAAAGTAAACGACAAATGTGTAAGGTTGTAGGCACCAGCACTAAAAATGAATATATAAAGGACAAATTACATACCACATAAAGTTTTTTCCAAATGTTACCCCATTCGCGCAGCACAAGGGTGACTTCACGGACGACTGGGTCTTCGATTGGGATGATTGATTCAACAAGACTGAAAGAGAAATGTCAAATGACAGGTTAAAATATGCACACAGAAACTATATCAGGATAAGTGGATCAGGAACCAACCATACCTTTCATTGTCAACTTTACTTGGTTTGATAAAAATGTAGGAGACTGGAAAGATGCCCTGAAATGGGAACAACACATTTTAACTAACATCTCGCTGAAAACACGCATTTCTGTTCATTTTTTCTTAGACAGGTTTTAAAGTACGTCACCTTTAGGGTCCTGTTTTTGGTCGCGAAACCACGGTACCATCCTGGAACACAGAAGGCGTCGGTTTACTCTGGGCCCCTTTGCAAGGACTGCATGGAAAGCAGTGAGGAGGGAGTCCTGGGCGCCAGGGAGGCCGAGCGCCGTGCGGCAGGCCGCCCGCCCAGCACGCCAGGCGAATGGGTTGCCGCTCGCGGACGCGCAGGCGCTAGCAGTGCGGCCACTGCCGCCACTGCAGCCACTGCAGGCGCGAAGGCCGAAGGCAGCTCGGGAGAGATCGCGGTCGGCGGGAGAGAAACAGCAGGCTGGCAGTGCTTTAGCTGTCGCTGTCGTCGTTCGGTCCTCTCACACTCGTGCGGCGTCCCTCAGGTAGCGCAGAGGTGCGAGGGAGACAGAGCGATGTAAGCATCGAAAGCACTAAGCACTCGGAATCGGCCTGCTGGCCTTTGCTGGCCTGGAGGGAAAACAAGGACCGTGACTCATGGACTCACCGAGGCACTCCTCCTGGATCTGCACCGTGTCCCCGATCTCCAGCGCCAGTCCGAACCGCGTGTCTCCCTTCCAGTTGTACACCGCTGGAACACAACAAGGGGCCAAACGCCATTACTTGCATTACTTTGCACGTTCATTTTCACTCTTTCCACCAACTGCCCTATGCGTATTGTGCCATTTCGCCGTTGCCAGGAAGTTCAAAACTTGTTCCTTTTGAAAATTGTCTTCTTTCGTGTATTTTTAATTAATCATAGCTTAATATTTTGGGCCGCAGAAATTTTTCTTTTTGTACAAAAGAATTACATTTAAGTAGTTCCCAACTATTTTTTTTTACAGTTGTTTGAGCCCGCTAGATTGAGCGCCAAAGCATTGCGAAAAATTCTCGATGTATATTTAGTAAGGAATGCACCAAATATAACGGTGTTACAGCCCGTAAACTAAGTAGGGAGCATCAGGAACACCTAAACCCGCCGGCCGACCGCGCAAAAAGGAAACCATCCCTTGTGGGGATCGAACCCACGACCTTTGGATTAGAAGTCCAACGCGCTATCCTCTGCGCCAAAGGGACCCGTGGCTGACGACCGCGGTATCGCCGCTTATGACGCAGGCGCGCGCTGGGGAGGGGAAAGCGTCCACCCGACGGCGCAGGCGGCACCGGGCCGTGGCGAGCCGCACCCGCCGCGCTGCTCGGCGCGCGCAGTGAGTCGGTGGGCCCGCGTCGGTCGGGCGTCGAGCCGAGCGCCGGAGAGCGGGAGCGCGGAGTCGCGGGTCGCGGTGGCGGCCGCGGCTGCCGCGGCTCGCACAGGAAGCGCACATCCTGATGCTGAGCCGACGGCCGACGGCTCGCTGCCGCTGGGGCTGCTGGGGCGCGGGGCCGAGCCACCGGACTGCCTAATGTGTCAATCGGAACCACACGCTACGCGCGTAGGGCCCCAAGCAGCCCAGGGCCGAAGCCCGCGGAGAAAGCAAGAAAGCGAGGCCCAGCAGCCCGGCCGGGTCCGGTCCGGACTGTCCACACTGGTCCACACGCACCGCCAGTCAGTAGCAGCAGCAGCAGCCCCGGCCCGCGCCGGCCCGCCGGACAAGAGCGAGTGGAGGGAAGACGGGAAGGGCTGCCGGACCGGGTCAACATCGTCAACATCTGGGGTTAACGCAACGCGCTTTCCTGCCGGCCAGTGTGTCGGGGACCTCATTAACGCGCAGCGCACAGTGGGCCGGCTGCCGGCTCCATCAGGCGTTCGTCGCGTCGTCTCTCTCGCACTGCTGGGCCACCCCGAGGGCGTGTGAGAGAGACGGAGGCGTGATTCGGAATCACGGGCCGGCGTGCATAACAAGGAGCGGCGGTTCGCCAGCAGGGCGCGTTGCTGCGCCATGGCTGCGCATTGCAGGGCGCGTGACGTGGGACGCGGCGGCCAGGACAGCACAGCCCAGGCCCAGGCCGGATGCTGCTGCTGAGTGTGCGCGGTATTTTCATTTTCTCCCCGCGGCAGCGTACACAAACAGCGCACTCTGGCCGTGTTTGTGTTTAGGCGGGGCATAGCGCAGCCAAGGCGCAGCGCATAGCGTAAGGCCAGGCCGCGACCGGCCGCGACCATGGCCGCGGATGGGATGGACTTCCCGGCAGCTCGAGTAATCCCGCACCGCGCACCGCGGCCAGGCGCCGGCCAGGCCGATTCGTCCCTCAGTTTCCATCACACTTGGAGGTGCGAAAGAGACAGAGCGTCGAAACGCTGGCCAGGCCTGGCACCGCGCGCACCGCGCCTGGCACCGCACCGCCCATGTGCCGCGTGGCCGCGTGGCCGGCAATTCCTCACATTTCCTGCGTCGCAGACCACTTCCACACTTCCAGCTCCAGCCGCGCGCTGTGTACGGTGCACTCCCGTGCACTGTACGTCGGGAACTAGAGCCTTGCTGACCGGCGTGCCGGCGTGGAGCTGATGCCTAGCCTCGTCTACGACTGTCTACGACACTGCAGGAAACGGCCAGACCGAGCCCCATTTCTGCCGTGGGATTGTGTCGCCGTCGTCCAGGCCGTCCAGGCGCGCGCTCCACCATGCTCCGCGGCAGGCTTCGTCGCTCTGTCTCGCTCGCACTCATGGGGTGCCCCGTCGGGGTGCGAGAGAGACAGAGCGACGAAACGCTGTGCGGAATTGGTTGGTCTCTCAGGAACGCGGGTTCGGCGCCGCGGCGCTTCCCCCTCTAAAAAGTTCCGCCGACTTTTTCATCCCTGCCGGCGCGGCGCCGCCGTCCTAAAGGCGAAGGGCTCAGAGGAAACAATCGATTCGGCACGGCGGGGCGCCGCCGCGAGGCTAGGCCGCTAGCCACGCCGGGCCGGGGGCGCCGGGGGCAACGCCATGGGACCGCGACGCCGGCCGGCCCGCACCTACCCGCGCCCTTGCACCCTGTGGCGTCGGCGTCGTGGCGTCCCGCCCACCCCCGCCAGTCTGCCAGTGCCGGTCCCACCCACGCGTGGTCCACCCCCCTCCCCGCCAAGGTAATCTCTCAACGAGCAGCCCCCGACGCCACGCGCCTCGCGGCCTCGCGGCCTCGCCGAGGGGAGGGCGGCATGGCGGCATGGCGGCACGGCGTCGCAGCGCGGCGCGCGAGAACCACGACGTCGTCGGGCGTGTAGCGACTCGCGGTGCCCTAGCGGTGCCCTGCGGTGCCTGATAGCGCCACTGGTGCCGGTGGGGCGTGGTCGGCGTGGTCCTCCGTGACAATGTGACGCGGACGTGACGCGGACGTGACGCGGACGTGACGCGGACGTGACGTCCCTCCCTTCCCTTCCGGCCGATCAAGAAGCGTCGTCGGCCACGCACTACGCACCGCCACGCTGCAGGCTGTTTCCGAAAGTCGTTTTCGTCGCTCTGTCTCTCTCGCACTCACAGGGAGTACCGTAGAGGTGCAAGAGAGACAGAGCGACGAAAATGACTCCCGGAATGAGCCTGCTGGGCTTCTACGCGCTCGCGGGGCTCGCGGGGCTCGTGGAGCAAGAGAGTGGCCGTGGTGGAACGCAGAGCGACGCAGAGCGACGAGGAGAAAGGCCGAGAGGGCGGCCGCCATTTCGAATAAGAACAAAACGCGTTCGTTCGTTCGGACGGCCGCGGCTCAATTTACCGACCCAGACTGCAGGGACTGCAGGGACTACCCAGACGGGCCGGCGCAATTGCAGCGCGCCGTCCGCGCCGTCCGCGCCGTCGCCGCGGCAGTCCGATTCCAAACCGTCTCTCTCGCACCCCTAAGAGCGTCCTGTCTCCGTTCGGCATCAGACTGCAGGTCATCCACGACTGTAGTGCTGCCGGCCTGCCCGGCGACGCACAGCGACGCGGGGCGCGGCGGGGCGGACGGCAAGGATCCGCGATTGGGAGGACCGGCAGGCGGAAGTGGTAATTAGCACCCCCCGCCGGCAAACGCGGCAACACGGCGCTGGAGCGGCTGCAGCGGCTGGAGGCGCTACGCTGGAAGTCGCTGGAACGCCGACCGCCGACCCATCAACGACAACGACGAGCCGGTAAGGAAAGAGGAACACCTCACTCTCTTGTTTACCAGCAAATCCACCCTGAAGGATTTAGGTACAAGGGCGGGCAAGGCTGGGCAAGGCTGGGCAAGGCTGGGCAAGCATTCGAGGCACCAAGGGCAGCACAGGGCAGCGACCCAAGGCCGGCCACTTCCCCCGCCCCCCCCCACTTCCCCCGCCACGCCACGCCACGCTGCGCCACGCCCCGTCCTGCCAGCTAATCGGCGAGGCTTTCGGCTTTCCCACCACCACCCCGCCCGCCCCGCTGACGTCACGCGTCGCCAAATTCCGACCGATACAAAAGAAAACTAAGTTGCCCACGTGTCCTGTGCTGCCCTTATCCCGGAAGCCCGGGGGAGAGAAGTCCACGTCTCGGCGGGCTTGCCTGCTTGGCTTGCTGCTTGGCCTGCTCGCCGCGCCCACTACGCTCGCTACGCGCCGTGCCCCATTCTAGCGATGTGAACTCGCTGTTAGAGCGTGGGAAGGCCACCCGGGCCTCCCGGGCCGGGCCGCACCGGCTAGAGTCCTCGAGCAGCAGCGGCGTCGTGCTGCATGACGCACTTGTAGAGGGGCGGCGGCCGTCCCCGGTAGTCCCGAGCGAACGGCCCGAACGCCGATAGCGCCCCTCGACTTGATGGGGCACTTCGCCTCGCTGAGGAATGCGCGCGGGGCGGCAAGGCTGGGCGTGTTGAGTGCTGAAAGCACGGAAAGCGGGGCGGGGGAGGCAGGCACCAACCCTTCATTACTGGAGTTCCTTCATTGTTCTCAAGGAGCCCTGCCCCCAGGCCATGCCCTCCGCCCCGCTCCGCCACGCCCCGCCCCGCCCCGCCAGGCCATGCCCCTCGTCCTGCAGCAACCCCGCCCGTCTGTGTGCACGCCGATGACAATGGCCCCGTGCCCACCGCCAGCAAGCAAGCCAGCAAGCCAGCGGTGTCCCGTTACACACTCCAGGATCAAAGTCCAATTCGATAAAAAGCGGCGAAAAAAAGATCACTCGTAGGGCCTGACTAGAGAGCCGGGGGAGGGGAGCCTCTCCACTCTGTACCCTTGATGCACCCTCGCCCCGCGTCCAGTGTCAGTGGAGCGTCAAGTGTTTGGCTTCCTCCGGCCGGCCCGGTCCGGCCTATCGCCAGTGTATCGCGACGCATCGCCTTCCCTCACCTACTAAGATAAGGCAGGGCGCGTCCGAAAGCGTATCAAACTGCCTCAGCCTCAGCTGCTTCAGCCACCACTGCACCACAAAAGACAGAGAGAGGGCGTTTTTCGGACACAGCTCTTTGCTAGAAGACTCCTCCCCACTAAGTCAGGGTCTGCAGTCAAGCTAACACAAGTCTCATTTGCAGAAAAGTATTCCCTGTCACTTCTCTCCTCTTTTTCCACATGAAAGAGAGAAATCATTAAGGAAAGTATCCAATACATAAGAAATATCTTATATGAATGTGGCTGATAATATAACGGCACAATGCTACAGCAAAAATTAATTCCGATTTGACAGTTGGAAAGAACAGTAAGGCCACTGTCACATGTCACAAAATAAACAAAAGGTAAAATAAGGCTGGACTGTATGAGAACTTTTCCAGCTGTTGCACATACAGAACGACACTGAAAAACTAAAGAACATGCAATATTCCTCAGTCACGTGTTACAACAAACAAACTGGCAAAAGCAAGAAATTTACAAGTGCTCTTTCTAACAGTAGCATAAAATAAACAGCTGTTCCATTGAAGTGATACATTGCCACCAGCATCATTCACTGCACACTTCCTAACCCAATTCACACAATTTCAAATGGTTCCCTGCAAGCAAAAATCATGACTATCTTACAAAAGGAGTTAAAACGTCAAAATTTTAAGAACACAGATAGTAAAAGTTAGGTTATGTGAATTTGTTTATTAATGTGACCGGCAACACGATCGTCAACACGAAAGTTCTGTAATTGTCGTCTACAGGCGTCATTCTTTGAATATCGGCTCGAAAATATTTGACAATTAATTTGAGATGTCACACACCAAAACAAAACCAACCACTGTTTTTTGAAAGTTCGCCTTTCGCAGGGAGGAATTTTTCAAAAATACCATCAAGTGCCGGCTCATTCAGCCGCAGAAACAAGGAATGGTTGGGGAAAGTTGTTCATTTATTTTACCAGCGAGCAGAGAGAAAAATAAAATGAAACATACTGCCCTGGCGAGTACAGACGACATTTGCAAAGGCCAAATGTTTTGACAATTGTAAGCGTCAAAGAAACCACTTACCAACTCCATATTTCTTCGTTTTCGTTGTAGCCCACATGTTGAGAGACACAATATCACTTTCACCACAGATAATTAACCATTCATTCTTAAAATGAAGGCCTTAATCACCATTTTGGCAGTTCAGTACACACAATCACAACAGTACATGCCAGTAATGTCAGGATACCACTACCAACACTGAACAACGTAAGCTTCACTTTCGATCTCTGGCCGGGGCTTGTACGAGGCTAGGAGCGACTTGGATGAGAACTTCAGCAGGGCGTTGGGCGTTTCGGGACGGAGATCGGCTTCCCGCCGCTAGAGGGCAGCACGGGACACGCGCCGTCGCTACTCCTGCTCCGAGTTCCCTGCTCCTGTGTTCGCAGGTTCTTGGACTCGCCTTTCGCGGACCGCGATGAGTCAAAGCGTGCATTTTCCTCATTGCTTTTTCCTCAACCGTGTACGCGCACGCATGGAGACAAGCTACTGCAATACCTAAGAATCTAGGAGCCGTATAAGGCAGCAGGCAGCAGAGACGCTGGCGACGTTTGCGTGCGCGTTCTGTCTCGGTTGCAGTCTTTTCGTAAGCATGGACCCGTCGCGTCGCCGGCGGCCTGTTTCTCGTCCCGACGAGTCTGCAGGCCACTGCAGGCCGAATCCGAGCCGGACCGGAGGTCTCTCTCGCACCCGCGGGGCGTGCCGTATGGGAGCGAGAGAGTCTGACCGACGGCCTGCTGCCGCGCAATGTCGGGGAATGCCCCCCACCCCGCCCCGTTCAACCCGTCTCATCTGGAAACTCGCTTTGCCTCGCCTCGCCTCGCGTTCGTCCAGCTCGCCTCTCGCATCTCGCATCGCGGCGGCGGTGGTGGCGGCGGCGGGGTAGCGCCCGAAAGAGGCCCGCTGGCAGTGTCGCGGCTCCGGGCCCCACGTGGGTGCGAGTGAGCGGGCACCTCGTGCAACAGGTACTCGGTGGCCTTGCTGGCGACGCAGCCGACTTGCCCCTTCGGGTAGAGGGGGAAGCACCAGCAGGACGCGCCGGGCAGTCAGTCGGCCGGCCCCCGGCTCGGCTCGGCTCAGGGGCAGGTCGGCATTGTAGTGGCTTCGGCTTTCGTGGAGGTGGCGGTGCTGCCGGTGCAGCGGTGCGCGGTGCGGTGCTCCACGCCGACGGCATGCTGGTGTCCGCGCCGGTGGTTTTAGCCGGCGCCATCCATAGTGCGTCCGGAACGGGCGGATCGGGCGGCCCGGCCGTCCAAATGGCCGAAGATCCCGAAGAGAGAAGCTCCCTGCTCGGCGCCGCGCCGCCGGCCGCCGGTGAGAATCTTCCGGGGACAGTGGCCGCGGACTGCCCCCCGCCGCCCCGAGCCCCGCCGCGGCCGCGGACGCCACCGCCCCGAACGACGGCTGAGTCCGCGGGACCGGAGCAGCAGTGTTCTGGTAAGAGCATTGGACGGTGACGTCTTCCCGCTTCGCTTCGCTGCGGTCGAGCGCGTCGAGCGTCGAGCGAGCGGAGCGCCCCGATCCAGTTTTGCTCTGCGAAAGAAGGGGACGCCCAGGGGAGGGGGAGGGAGGGGGCGCCTCCGGCCCGGTGCGTCTGTGTCTTCGCGGCCCCACGCGCGGCGGACTGGCCGGCAACGGACCGCGGTGGCAGCGGCAGCAGCGGCCCTGCCGTGCCGGGAAGGGCGCCAAAGACTGGCGAGCCAACGTTCGGTAATCTGGCGTGCCCTACTTCACCGGGCAGCGCGAGATTGATAAGCCGCGGAAATAGAGCAAGTTCATGAAGCGGTGAAGTTCACGTCCACGACGACGCGTGCTTTTAGACTGATTCCGAGAGTCGTCTTCGTCCCTCTGTCCCTCTCGCACCTAGAGGGCACGCCTATGAGTGCGAGAGAGACAGAGCGACGAAAACGACTCTCGGAACCAGACCACTGGCTATCGCTTACCACTCTGCCGTGCTCCGCCCCCCTGTCATCGGGGAGCAATCGCCCTGGTTCCGGCGCCGGTTCAATGCCCGGTCATCCCTTGCCCCCATACAACGCACCTTTCGCGACCTTTAGCGCCTGCGAGGTAGGCCACCTCCCCGTCCCGCAACACTCTGGCGCGGACACGGTGGCCTACCCTGCCCCTGCCGTCTGCACAGGGGCCAGGTAGGCCACCGTCTCCGCACCGGCGCATCGCAGGCTGGCCCACTGGCCTACCTCACAGGCGCTAAACGTCAAGTTGAAGCCACAAGTAAGAGATGCTCTTGGAGAAGGGCCCTGCGAGGAAAACAGTAATAGGAAAACAGTGAAAGGAAAACATTATGGGGGAAATACTGCGTGGAAAACATTGTGGAAAACGTGGAATCGCTCTGCAGATTGATGCCGAGCGGAATGTTTCACTCTCGCAGGGCGACACCGCCCCTTTTTGTGGCCATAACGTTGTGGCCACAAAATCTTTGTGTAATCGTGTGGGTTATTGGCAGCTGCCCCCTCCTACATGGACTTCTAGAAGGTTCATAGTTGAAAGGATGCTTATCCTGCTGAAGGAGGGATCTCTGCGCCTTTAATCAATTCCAGGAACTCACGCTGCACGCACGTGAGTCGCTGCCTGGATTCGGATCGAAAGAGAACCTGTCCGGACGAAACAAAAGTAATACGGAAGACTTCACGCAACAAAACCAAGAGCACCACCACGTGGCGATACGCGGATTTTTCCTTCAACTTTCTTTTCTTTTGATAGATATACAGACAATTCTCTCGCGGTTCGTGAGATCTTCGGTTGTCGCAGTGCGTCACAACACAAACTCGCGTACTCGGTTTGTCGAGGACCGATAAGAACAAAGTGGGGTAATTAATGGGGACGGATGGCCTACTGGATCCGAGATTCGAGCGATTGGAAGCGAAGCGTTGGGGCTTGGGCTGCAGTCTGGACTGTCCTGGTTAGCGCGTTCGCGCGTCTATTGATAGTGCCGTCACGGTCACGGCGGCCACGGCCACGCCGCGGTGAGTCTAGTGCGCCTCCAAGTGTCACCTTCCTCTCCCCGCCCCTCCCACGCCCCGCCCCGCCCCTCCCCGGCCGGCCGGCCGCACTGGCGGCATGCACACTGCACTCCCTATCAGTCGGAGGAGGCCCTCGAGTCCATGAGGTTGTCCGAGCGGCGCGTCGTCGCCTCGTTCAATTTACGCCTCTAGCGTCGCCGGCCGTTGGTGCGCGAGTCGCGTCGCGTCGCGTCACGCCGCGGGTAGTGGCCGCGAGGTGGCCCGGCGAGGTATTCTTCCGTACCGCTTCCTCCGAAGCCGGCCGCCAAAAACGACCAAGAGAAAGAATAGGCAGTGGGGACGTCATCGACGTGCGTGGGGCGGCCAGTGCTGCCGCGCTGCCGCGCTGTCCAGGCCCAGGGCGTGCTGGCCGTGCCTGGGCCGTGCCTGGGCCGTGCCTGGGCCGTGCCCTGTCGGACCTGTCCGTGACGTCTCTCGCCACTCAGCGCCACTCGGAGCCCCGCAGCCCCGCAGCCCCGCGTGCCAATCGCGACGGCGACGACCGCAGTCCCGCAGTGCGGCATTCAGGTGCTCGTCGTTCGCGGAGCAGCGCGCGCAGTCCAGCGGAGCCTCGCGGAGCGACTCCTTGAGCAACCCGAGCGCGCCGAACACGCTGGAGCCGGCCAGCCAGTCCAGCGCCTCGCCCTCGGCGCGCACAGTGCCGCTTGCCAGTGCCCCGCGACCAGCCGCGCTTGTCTAGCTCGTCTAGTGCCCCGCCGACTTCGGACGTCGACCGACGTCGACCCATCGCGATGTGGGGAGGAGAGTCCCTGTCGTGGGTCGCGGCGCTGCTGACGGGCGCCGCGCTGCGCAAGGGCAAGGAGAGCCTCAACGAAGCCCCCTACCGAGGTACGTCGGACTCGCAGGAAAGTGTACGAATGTTAATTGGAATCCATGCAGGCGAGTGGGCGTGAGACTTCTGCGTTCCCTTTGAAAAAACATTTCTCGTCGGCCGTCAGCCATGGTTGAGTAAGGTCCGTGACAAAGTTTCTGTGCCCACGGCCAGCCCAGAGGGTATCCATACTGCTGGCCGTGTAGCCGTGTGCACAGAAATGTTTCCATGGATTAGAGTTAAAATAACCATAATGTGCTGAATGTGAAATGGGGATTCAGGAATGACACATTAGTTGAAACGACTAACGGTTTTCTCGGTACCGTGAGAGTTCGCAGCACTCGCCGGCATTTATGATCAGCTCAGACACAGAAATGAATAGCACACTCCAATAACGGCGAGGGCTTATCATAAAATTCTACTTTTACACTTTTATGATTTGCCAGTGCTTTGCTAATGGTGGGTCGAGACGATGCTGCTGCGCCGATTGTGCCGATCCGCTGATAGGAAAACAATCTGCAAGGCCCGCTGAAGCGCGCTGAAGGGGAAGCAGCGGCTGTCGTGTTTGGGTCCAAAGGTAGCAAGGCGCCGGGCCGGGCCGGGCGTGCGCCGCCACCGTGAACGGGCATGCCGGCAACCGGGAAGAATGTTTCAAGTTTGTGGAGTTTGGTTTCAGCCACGAGAGGCGGGGCGGGGCGGGGCGGGGCGGGGCGGGGCGGGAGGGTTAGGCTTCGCTGCCGGAGCCGGACGACGGTGGACGAACCGGGCGGACACGAACGCGTACCCGCCAAACGACCCCGGCAGCGCGGCAGCTCGTCGCGCGCCCGGCCCGGCCTTTCGCAGTGTATCGGTTGGACCAGTTTTGGAACCGAGTGACATCATCGAGCATGTCAGGGTGGAGGGAAGTGAAGTAACGCACTTTGCCTATTTCCAGGCGGCGTCCTGTGTCCTGCACGCCAATGGTGTCCGAAGGGACTGGCGTCGGGGCGCAAACGCGCTTGAATGGCGCCTTTGTCGAGGCCGGCGCTGTACACGCGTTACACATGCCTGCATCGCGGCCCGCACCTCATTTGCATCCCACACTGTACACTAATTGGGAATGTTGACGGCCGCGTCAGTGCCGGGTCCTGCATTCGGGTTTGAGTCTGGCTGCATTGGGGAAAGGGAGAGGGGGGTATGCACTTGGCGCGCGAAGTTTATCTGACTGAAGCCGGAGGACGGACGCCGCGCCGCCGTCTGACTTTTATCACTGGTATCACGACTGTCTGACAGCCGAACCGAGCTGGGCCTGCCGTCTGATTCCGAACACTGCTTTCGTCGCTCTGTCTCTCTCGCACTCATGGGGTGGTCCGTAGGGGTGCGAGAGAGACAGAGCGACGAAGCAGTGTTCGGAATCAGACGGCAGCCTCGGACAGCCTCAACTCGGCAGGCCGTCCAGTGCAGCGCCAGTGTGCCAGACGGGGGCGCTGTCGCGCTGTCGCGCTGTCTTGTCTTGGCACGGCTAACGATCGAACCAATTCACACGCCAGCGGAGACGCTCTGGCCAGCAGAGAGCCACGGCCGGCACTCGCTGTACAGCGTCGTGCCAGAGGAAGATGGCCCGGCCTGGCCCGGCCCAGGAGGCCCACAGCACCCACAGTCAATCAGAGCCAAGGCGAAGCCAAGGCGAAGCCAAGGCCTGCTGGTGACGCCGGGGCACGCCGGGGACTCTCTGAGTCGGGGCGTCGGAGAGCCGCGGCCAGTGCAGGAGACGGAAGGACCCCGAGGGCCTAGTGTGTACCCGACGCTCCCGACGCAGCAGACTCGCTCTGTCTCCCTCGCACTCGAGGAACGCGGTGGGTCGAGCGGTGGGACGTCCCGAGAGAGACAGAGTGACGACAGCGAAGTGCTGAATCAGTCGCCAGGCAAATCACAATCGAAGAGCCGCACAGGAACGGCCCAAAAAAGTAGACACGTTTATTGTATGGCGGAACAGCCTTGGGGGGCCGGCCCCGGGCCACGCGAACTACCGCCTTAAATCGGGACTATCAAGACCAAAAGATTGACGTGCGATCAAGTAACAGGTTTTTGCTTATTTTGCCTCTTTTCATTCCCTGATCTTCCAGGAATGTTATATTTTTTTTTGCTCCGCCCCTTCCTTCTTGCCAGTGGAAATTTCCTTTTTTCCACAAGTACGACCGTAGTTGAAAACGTGTGTGCGATTTGGGCAAAAGTGTGTTTGACCTGATTACCATAATCTTCGTTCGGTTGGAGTTGGTCTTTGCGCCGGGCGCCCTGCAGCGCGGCTGACGCTGCCTGCAGACCGTTTCCGAGAGTCATTTCCGTTGCTCTGTCTCTCTCGCACCGACAGGGAACGCGCCACGAGTGCGATAGAGAGAGGGCGACGAAAACGACTCTCGGAATCAGTCTGCTGGCACGGCTTGATGGCTTGCGCTGCCGGGCCGCGCGACCTTTGTGCCCGCGGTCTCCTGGGACGTCGGGGCGTTGGGACGTCGGGGCGTAGGCGTGGACGAACGGGGAGCCTCGCACGAGGGAAGCCTCCAGTAATCATCCTTGATTGGCCGTCAGCCCGCGGCCGGCCCGGCCCGACCCGGCCCGGCCGGCCAGCCCAGCTAGCGACAGGAGAAAAAGGATAAGGAGATAATGTAGCTAGACTGGGGACCGCCGGGGACCGGCCACGCGGAACTTTGGCGTGACGCGTGCAGAGTCGGATTCCCTGGCCTGCGCGCTGCGCGGGTCTGCGTCTCCTACGCTACGCTACTGTACACTACACTCGCAGGGACACCGAAGCGCCGCAGCGAGCGCCGCAGCGAGCGCCCCAGCGCCGGCCCTGCGTGGCGGCGCACAGTGGGCCAGAGGACCGCACTGAAAATCCAAGTGTGGGACAGGCATGCACTAGATAACGTGGGACAAACTGTCCCACGCTTGTAAGCGTGGGACAAAATGTCCCACGTTTGCAAGCGTGGGGCAAACCGTGTTACACGTTATTTAGTGCATGCCTGTCCCACACTTGGATTTTCAGTGCGTTCCAACGCCTCCAGGCCGCCTCCAGGCGGCAAAAATTCTAGACGCGACCGAACGAGTGACCCCGACCCCACCAATGGATTGCTCTCCGAGCGAGGAATCCATTGGTGGGGTCACACGTCTGATTCGAGTACTGTTTAGCAACTCTGGAGCATCTGGAGCTCAAAACACGTCTAGAATTTTGGCCGCCTGCACCGGTCTTCTGGCCCACTGTGCGGCGGGCCGCCGACATTGGGCGGCCCATGGCTGCCCATGGCCCAACGTTTAGCTTTGCTGTTTGTACACACTCCTTGCCTGCTTTGTTCGAGTGTTGTTGGTTGTGACGCCGACACGTCGACACCTCCAGGGCCTTTCGGGCAGTTTCAGCCTCCTCTCGGAAGCCACCGCAAAATGCCCGAGATGGGTCCAAAGCGCGAAACTGCCTGGTGGCCGCAAAGTGTCTGGCCACGATGAGGTGCGGATGCGAGTACTGGTGGCTGATTCCCTGTCTGCACGCTGCAGCAGGCACGAGGAACACGTTCACGGCGCGGTGGCAGCGATGGCTGGTGCGCGGCTTTGTGGCGCTGGTCGGCGTCCTGGTGGTGCGGCCCTTCACCTACCTCACGTACTTGGCGACGCCCCGCAAGCGGCTGCCGCCCATCGACAACCCCATCCTCACGATGCAGGCCCAGGACATCGCCAGGGCCGTGCGCACCCGGAAGGTAAGGACGGCGACACGACCAAGGACACGACGCCCACGACGGCGAGGGCGAGGGCGAGGGACCGTTTCCAACTTGAGGGATCCTGACGTTGGCGGCTTGTTCCAGCTCCGCGCCGAGGACGTGGTGACGGCGTTCGTGGACAGGATAAACGCCGTGAACCCCGTGGTGAACGCCGTGGTGGACCAGCGCTTCACCGACGCGCTGCGCGACGCCAAGGACATCGACGCTAGGCTGGACGCCGGGGATGAGAGTCTCAAGGACCTGCCGCTGCTCGGCGTGCCCATCACCGTCAAGGAGTCCATCGCCGTCAAAGGTACGTGCCGCCACGTGGTCTCGCCAAGGCCGCCAGGCCGCCAAGGCCGCGCGACAGATAACCGCGCGACCACCAGCGAACGGGCCGGGGCGGGCCGGCCGGGGTTCGATCGCCCCAGCCCATTTCCAACCCATTTCCGACACCATCGTGTTTACGTGTCGCTTTGCGTGCCCTTGACACGGCCTATCATCAGTCGGCGAACTGCATCGCCATGGCATCGCGAGCGCCACAGCGGCTTCAGCGTCTTTTGAATTGATTGTCGGTGAACTGGCGGGACACTACACTGCGTTACCAGGCCCCCGGCCCCGGCGCAAAGTGCGCCAGAAGACCGGTGGAGGCTGCCAGCCAAAACTCCAGGCGCGTTTTTTGACCTCCAGAGGACTCGAACCGAGCGTGTGACCCCACCAATGAATTCCTCGTTCGGAGAGCAATCCATTGGTTGGGTCACGCGCTATTTTCGAGCCCTATTTAGCGAATCTGGATCTCAAAACGCGTCCGGTATTTCAACCGCCTCCACCGGTCTTCTGGCCCACTGTGCGGCGCCTTGGGCAGGCAGTGCCGCCGACGGGGCTGTCCAGCGGGACTGCCGACCCTCCGCGGGGCCCTGACCGCTCTGACCGTCGTGTTTTGGCCGCGCGGCCGCGCAGGCATGTCCTTCAGGGGCGGCATGCCTTGCCGGGAGGGCGAGGAGCGGTGCGCGGACGCCGACGCCGAGACCGTCGCCAGGCTGCGCGCCGCGGGGGCAGTGCCACTGTGCGTCACCAACACGCCCGAGGCGTGCCTGTGGTGGGAGTCCTTCAACGACTACACCGGCAGCACCCGCAACCCCTACGACTCCAGGCTCACGGCGGGCGGCTCTTCCGGTGGCGAGGTACGTCGTCGTGGGTGCCACTGTGCGTCACACAGTCAGGCCCTGCCGCGCTCGAGAGACCCGTGACGAGCCTGCTTCTGCTTGCAGGGCGCGCTGCTCGGCTCCGCGGCCTCCGTGTTGGGCGTCGGCTCGGACGTCGCTGGGTCCTGCCGGCTGCCTGCCTACTTCTGCTGCGTCGCCGGCCACAAGCCGACTCCAGGTAAGCTCACTGTGCAGTGACCCCGTGACCCCTGTTGCACTGTGCATGCCAAGTGCGTGGGCTGTGGGCTGTGGGCTCTGGCCCTGGGCAGCCCGGGCAGCCCGGGGTGTCCAGACGCCAAGGTCGGAGGCCAGGCCGAGGCCCAGACAGCCAGACAGGCACGCCGACGTGCGGCCCGGCCATTTCGCACGTGGGGAACGCCACGCCGTGATCCCAGGCATTTCTCTGTTAGCGCGACGTCGCTAATTTGATTACCAAACAAAGCGCGCCACGCCCTGCAGGCTGCTTCCGAGCGGCGTGTCGTCGCCCTGTCTCTCTCGCGGCCCTACGTCGCGGCCGGAGCGAGCGAAGCGTGCGAGAGAGACAGAGCGACGAAAGCCCAGTTCGGAATCGGCTTGCCGGCCCCGCTGGTCGTCATCGCCATAACGCGGTGCGCGGTGCGCGGTGCGCGGACTCGTCATGACATTGCGTAAGCACTAGTAACAACGACTCGCTCTGCACTCCCTGCAGGTGTGGTGCCCTGGCTCGGCCACGCCCCGGAGTGCGACGACCCCAAGTGGCCCGACTTCTTCACGCAGGCGCCCATGGCCCGGTACGTCGCTGACCTGCCTCTCGCCCTCAAGGTGCTCGCCGGCGACAAGGCGGCCGAACTGCGGCTCGACGAGAAGGTGAGAATATTCATATTCGCATTCTTAACAATGCTGCGGGAATCTAATACATTGAGGTATCCTTCGCGACAGTTTTGGTCTCAAATCAATCTCACACATATTTATCAGAACTCTTTAGCATGTATACTACTGTTCAGATAAATGTGTAGTATTCTTGGCTTTTGGAACGTCAGTAGGGATTCACATTCTCTGTGGGCCTACGCAAAATTAGCCAGTGGTTGCCACCTCCGCGAGAGGGCCGTCCCTTGGACATGTCCATCGCGCGCTCACGCTAAACGTTTAGAATTCACGGCCGCAGCTTGATTCCCGACAGTGCCTGCCACTACGCCCCCGTGAGCGAGAGAGGCAGGGCGACGAGGGCATTGTTCGGAATCAAGCTGCAACGGCGCAGCGGCCTGCTTGGGTAGTGCCGAGTCCTGAACCCTGTCTGTCCTGTCCTCCAGGTGGACCTCAAGTCCGTGCGCGTGCTCTACATCGAGTCGGAGCCGCCGACGTCCGTGTCGGACGCCGTGACCGGCGAGGTGCGCGCGTGCATGACGCGCGCCGTGCAGCACCTCCGCGCGCAGGGCCTGGACGTGCAGCCCCTCAAGCTGGCGGGGCTGGAGGACGCGTTCTTCTCGGGCGCGCTGCTGATGCTGCAGCTTCGCCGCGTGCGCACGGTGCACTTCGACCCGCAGCGGCCCGATTCGCTGCACCTGGCCTGGTCCGAACTGTTCCGCTTCCTCACCTGCCGCTCCAAGTGCACGCTGCACTCCGTGGTGGCCGGCGTGCTGTTCTACTTGGCGCGCTTCACGCCGCAGAGCGTGCTGCGGAAGGCGGACGCGCACCGCACGCTGCTGCTGGCCCGCCTGCAGGCCGCGCTGGGCCAGGACGCCGTGCTGCTGTACCCCAGCATGCCCGCGCCCGCGCACCGCATCGGCCTGTTCTGGCGGCGCCTGCTCAACACGTCCTACTTCATGATCTTCAACCTGCTCGGCATGCCCGTGACGCAGGTGCCGTTCGGGCTCGGGACGACGTCGGGGCTCCCCGTCGGACTCCAGGTCGGTACGCGGTCTGCAAGCCGGATGGGTTGCCTGCCTTCAGGCGCTGGGGATGAATGGGGGTGGCTCCCGCGAGTTACCTGCTGATTTCTAATCCTATCGGTTCGGTTCCTCTTCCTTGACAGGTGGCAGCCAACAGGTACCAGGACAGACTGTCGCTCAGCGTGGCCAGGGAGCTCGAGACAGCGTTCGGGGGATGGGTACCGCCTCACTGCAAAGCGTGAAAGCTTGGATGGATGCATACTGTTCCTGAAGTAGCAGGAAAACTACCTGACTGGTGAACAATGTGATACTGCAGCAGAATATGAGTATGTCTCTGTGGAGCAAAAGATTGTCTCGGAGTGGTCAGTGACCAGTCTCCTCGGGACGAGGAGGCTCGGGAGCCCCTTGTGGGAGTCCCGAGCTGTATTGTAAATCTGTAAATAAGCAAGTGACTGTAAATATAAAGTAAACCTAACTGCGATGCAAATAGTGTAAGTCTTTGATTTATTAATTGTTAAATACAGAATAAATGATCAGTTCTGAAACCGCCCCCGACGTTGGCTCATCTTTTACCCGATTGCCCCATGGCGACAAGGTTTGAGAGTTTTGAGAGTCTGTTCGTATTGGGTATTGGTGACAACATCGACTTTACCGACGCATTTAACACTTACATGCAGATGAGACTCTGTTTTCGGCGCATTCGCCCTACACTGAAGTAATGGAGGATTTCAATTGCCTCCCAACACAAGGGAGGACCAGCCGGGGAAAGCCCCCGCACAATGTTTGCCACTTTGACTCGTTTTGAAGTCTTATAATGCAGAAAGGGAAATTTAAATGGAGCATACACATCTGAATCGGATCGGATATTTCAAGAGGACCTAAACAATTCCTCCATCAAGGTCTACAATAAAATGTCGGTAATTTCAATGTCCAAAAAATTTAAGTCTCATGTAACCATTAGCATGATTGAACTAAGAAGATTGATTCCTAAAAAAGCGCTAGCTTTCGAATTCGATTCGAACAGCGCAAGCGCAGCGCTCCTAACAGAAGTCACGAAGAGCGGGGCTTCTGATTGGCTAGCGGTCGTGGTGCGAATAAGGCAGCTTCAGCTATTGGCAGTGCTCGCGCAGCAGCCGCCACAACAACTACGAGTGGATACGCGCAGGAAGATGCCGCGGCACCGCCGATCGGAGCGCCCCCAGCGGCAGTGGTGGGGACTGGTCCGGGGCACCGTGAGACTGTGGCGCCCCTGGCGGACGAGACGGGAAGAATGGTGCTTTCAGATTCACGCGAAATTTCAAACTGGCGCGGGGAAGGGAACCGCTTGAAAAAGGAGGGAACTAATTAAGTTGGCAGAACAAAGGAAGTACATAAGTTACAAATGTTAGGGAAAAGCGCACGATTATCGGTCATTTCTGTTTTGTCTGTCAACCTGTGAAGATGTACTCAAAGGAAGCATGTTCACTATGAGTAACAACACTGGCTGCCTTAGACTACTTTGATCATTTCTCTTTAAAAAATTTTCTTGTCTGGTCTCAGGTAACAACGCGCAGAGAGAGAGAATTCTATAATACTTTAAGGGGGAACCCTGGTGAAACTTTCAAGTAGGCTTTAAAATAATCCCAGAAAGTTGAAACTTTGCTTACTTATTAGGTTCATTGAGTTCCCAAAACAAAATTCAATCCAAAATGTTGAACGTTCTCTGAGAAAAGTAGCTTTTTAGTGTTTTTTAGAGCGTTGGGGAAAAATCTTCCTGCGTCTTTCATTAAAACGCAAAGTCTTGAAAATTTTTTTGGCTTATCCTAAAGATGTATAGGAGATATTTTAGTGACGAATTTTTCAATTTTAACTTCTGTCCTAAAATATGAATTTTCAAATTTTAACATTAAAAAAAAAAGTGAATTTTTTGCCCTTTTTTCAAACTTTTAGGTGTTTGTAAAAAAAGGAGGGCTGATATCAAGATTCCGTCACTAAAATTTGTCGACAAGTCATCAATGAATAGAGTCCATGCAAGACGACTCATGTAGGTGTCAACCAGGAACGCAGGAAATCTTTCTACGACAAAATTTTTTGTTGACTGAGCAAAAGCTGTGAAGTTGAGCGTATAAGCCAACGACAACTGATCTCAATGTTAATTCTTTCCAAATAATGAAGGAACTACCCACATAGTTTAAAGGTGTTCAACCTGTTGAATCTGAAACCTTCTATGCACATTTTTATCCATGAACTTTAAAAATACTATTTTTGGCAGTTTTGGCCATTTTTTCACCAGCCCCCCCCCCCCTTAATGTCCGCACAAATGTTTTTTCCACTTTTTCCGGTCGGACCCACCCACTTAGTCCTTCGTCCGCCAGGGGCGCTACAGTCTCACGGTGCCCCGCGCCAGTCCCCACCACTGCCGCTGGGGGCGCTCCGATCGGCGGTGCCGCGGCATCTTCCTGCGCGTATCCACTCGTCAACAACTGGAGTTCCTTAACCTGATATTGAAACGTGCTGCTTCCTCATAATTCCTGTTGAAATCAACTGCCCTTTGAGCGATACAACTATGTCTTTCATCGATATCAGTGAAGGACGTATTGCTGTTTCGAGTGGATCCAAGTCACTTGTATTTCAAGAGGGTTCTGATGGACCTATCGTTCTGGAACTGCCGTCGGTGAGACCGGAGTTGAAGGAGAACAAACCAACAAAACCGGTTGCTGTAGCTGATGAATCAAAGAACGTTGTGTTAGGCCTTCGATTTTCTCCATGTGGGAAGTGGTTTGCAGTTTATTCCTCGGCTAAGCAACTGGTTCTTTGGGAAACTGCTAGCTGGACCCTGGCAAGTGAACGCTACATGCCCAAGACTGCGACCAGTTTGAAGTTCACCCCTGACAGTCAAGATGTCATTATTGTCGATAAGGCTGGAGATGCTGTTCAGTTCTCTTTGAAAGATTTGCTCAAAGAAGGTGAAGTTATCTTGGGTCATCTATCAATGCTTTTGGATGTTGTCCTAACTCCAGACGGCAAGAAAATTATAACTTGTGATCGGGATGAAAAGATAAGGATATCTCATTATCCAAATGCTTATAATATCATATCCTACTGTTTGGGTCACAAGGAGTTTGTATCATCACTGAATCTTTTGCCCCATAAACCATCTGTTCTTTTGTCTGCTTCGGGAGATAGTACTATAAGACTATGGGATTTTCTAAGTGGACAGGCACTTGCATCATATGACTGTTCTTTGGATGTCTCCAAACAATTGTCAGTGAATGGAACATCCTTAACTCAAGTGGAAAATGACCTATCCAGTTCTGTTATTGTGCACAAAGTATGTTCTTCTAAAATTAATGACAATAGCTCTCTGGTTTGTGTTCTATTCTATGGTTACAATGGTCTTCTTGTATACAGAATCATTGACAATAATTTTGAACTTATTCAAGCTGTACTTGTAGAGGAAACAGTTTTGGATTTTTGCTTTAGAATCAATGGTGAGCTGGTCATCAGATTGGCCAATAATGTTTTACAGAGCCTTTTGTATAAATGTACTGCTACAAACATAACTTTCTCATCAAGTTCTGAGAAACCCACAAAGTTTGTTACCAAGATTAATGAAATTTTAGAAAAGGACAAGGATCAATTTGTAACCTCTAGCAATGTACCACAATTATTGAAACGCAAATTCGACAATGTTAAAGAATACTATCAGCAGAAAAAGGCACGTTTAGGAGAACAGTGACCAACTTCATATCTTTGTCTGTATGTGTGTGTCATAGGGAAACGTTCTAAGAGTAAGAAGAATGTTGCAACAAAATAATTTTGTATTATATATTATGCAATGTACAATATATTCATAAAAATAAATAATTTAACTATACATCAGTACTTACAATAATTATTCCCATTTAAGCTGCTTACAAAATATAAATATTACAAATACAGACTTCACTTAAATGATGACAGAAACAGAAGTTCTTACTCAGAAACACTTGCTTGATGTATAAACTTGAAAAAGTGGAAAAAAGAAATTAAAAAATTCCAAGCCTTGATTTACAAGTACTTGCAACTTGATTCAATTTGGTTTGAATGAAACTTTGCTAGAGCTGCCGAGTAGGAAAGAATGTCAAATGAAACCAGCAACAAATTTATGCTAGGTCTGGTGCTGGAAATGATTGGATAAGGAAATCTACATTAAAATGGTTCAAGCAACCAAACAAATAAATCTGGCATTGAGGATAGAGATTAAAAAAAAAAAAAAAGCTTTGGTACAATGGTATGAGACAATTACTGTACAGGCAATTTGCACTTCAGTGCAAATTCTCATTATGAAAGAGTAATGACAACTTCAACATAAGCTGCTGCATAAAATATAACAAGGGTTTGTCTATATAAGCTATGACTACCATAAGACTATGCAGACTTGCATTCTTACCAATTGACTATATACTGGCATGGTCAAGAAGAAGAATGGACACAAATTAAGCAGTAAATGCTGTCTTATGACCTTCAATGAAAAGGATCCCTTTGAGCATTATTTGATACCCAGTGGCAAAATGAGGCATCACAGTTCCAAGATATTAAAAAAAAAGAAAAAAAGATACTATTCTGAAAGTGCAGTTCCCTTTTTTGAAACACCCCTTGCAATAAGAACTGGAAGAAGCTTATTTTGGTTCAATAGCATGACAAACCAGTGGAATATAGAAATAATAATAAAACCAAGTACATAAGCCCATGAGAGGGAGGAAACAAAGGTTTACAACAATGATGATCGTCTCAACTTCAGTAACCGGCAGAAGAATTTTGAACAACATTCTTCAAAGATTTTTCCCTCTGTGCTAATAATAACCCTTGGCTAACAAAGATTTTAACAAACGCTTAAAACTACCTGTGATATCACAAACAAGCAAATACATAAAAACCACAGTACACATTGTGATTCATGTCCAACTTGCAGGAAAATGTAGCAGTCTTTTCAAGTGTACTAATGGTCTTTTACACAAACTTTTGTTAACAATTAACTTTTTACAGAAAAGACAGTGGCAAAATGAGAAATTGAAATTTAACATTCTACAAAATGAATGATGTAAATGTGCACTCACATTTCTAATCATAAATCACAAAGCAAGATGTGCGAACCAATCTCAGAGGCAAAACTACAAAAAGCATGAATATCGCATTACAGTAAATCTTTCACACTTAATATAAAGAGACAAACATTTTGAGTTCTCATCTAGCTAGATCAGTAAAACTCTTGCACACAGTGAAACAAGGATAAGTTACAGCTTCAGTTTAAAATATACCAAAATAAAAATAAAAAAAAAAAATTAAAAAAAAAGAAGAAAGAAGATTTTTTATAACTTAAGCCTTAATGAATGACTATTAAGCTAAATCACAAAATAATGTAATATATGAACTGAAACGAGTGAATATCTGTGGCAGTTTGAAGAAGAAACAAAGCATGGGAATGCAAAGTGAAGCAAGAACTTTAAGATATGAGGAATTCGAGAGCCTGGTCTCTATCACAATTAAATTTTACAAGCGCTTCAGATACACGGTCCGCCGGGAAGCCAAGATCCAAGAGCTGGGATTCTACTTGAAGATATTTGTTGGTGGCCTCCAGATCTTGATTGTGCATGGAAAGAGCATGTTCAGCACGACCTTCTTGGTAGCCAGCATCCAGCAGAGTCTCAAGGGAAAGAAGAAACTCTACAATCTACAAATAAATATTCCAATATCAGTAAAACAAATGGGATGGTGTAATGGATTATAATATCTCAGAATATATGGGGATAGCAAATGTATACCTTTTTGTCATTTGTGCCTAAGTTTTGGCATGCTCTTGCAACTCGAGCTCTCGGAAAGCCCATCTCTGCTATCTTACGAACTAGAAATTGGCTTTCTGATTGAAGAGACTCAAATGGGTCTGGTTCCATGGGTGAAGATGGTGACTGCACTGATGAACTATTTTCAGGTGTAGATTCCTGAAACAGATATGTAAATATTTATTTTTAATGCTTGAGGGGTAAAACACAATCTAAAGTAAGGAAAAAAAATACTCACTTCAGATGGCTTCTGTTGATACCTTGATGCCCTTGATTTCATAAGGTCACTCAATTGCTGAGCCACATGACTAACTGATGCCTCTGTTCCCTCATCAGGTGATCTCTCTTCTGAATGATCGATTGAAGATGACAATAACTTAAAGGATTCTACATTTGACAACACAGTCCTCTTTTCACTGGCCATTGCAGCACTAAAGGAAGGTTGTCTTGGAGGCTGATAGCCCGCAGATGACCAGGCATTGGATCCGTAGTAGCTTGCCAACTGATGTTGCGGATCTTGATGGGCATAGGAGAACGAAACATCACTTGGTTGAGGCATACGCTCTCTTTCAGCAAAATTGTAGGCTGCTGCCTGACTATGTTGGTTGAGATGCGGTATCACAGGATGAGGGTGGTAACTTTGCATACTATTGTAATCATAATTTGACGTAAATCCATTGACATGGGGTTGATAGTGCATGCCATGCTTTGCATCATTTAGAATATTATTACTGCCAGGAACATTATAAGATTGTTCCATTGATGTCCCATGACAGTTCACAGTCTGATGGTGAGCTTTTCCATAAGGCTCCTCTGATGGTGTGGTATTAAGATAGTAGTCTTGGGTCTGAGAAGTTGTAGAAGGCTGTAGCACTTGTGCAAGCTCCTCTAGGTCATTTATTGTCTTCAACTCCATATTGTCAAAAGGACTCGAGGTGTCAGCTTCAAAGTCTGATAAGTTAAAGGCACTAATTGGCTTGTTGTTATTCATTTGTGAAGTAACAACTTGATGCTTGATGGGGATAGGTCTCAAAATAGGATTAACTTCATTAATGACTGGGGTGCAACTTGATGGTACGGAGGGCTGCACTTTGACAGGATGTTGAAGCACAATGGGGGCTGGGGCAGCAGACTGCAGTTCAGGTGGCTGGCTCTTCAGCGGAGATCCCTCATCAGTTGATAATTCGTGCATTGTTTTCTCAATTTCCTGCATAGTTTCTCTCATTTTGCTACGTTCAGCATCTTCTTCAGCCAGGCGTTGCTTTCGCATCTCTTTCTCTGCAGACCTTGAGGAGCGCCATTGTTCTATTTTGTCCAGCACATCATGTTCAAGCTGGAAATCATACTGTAAACAAGACAATAAACAAGCTGCATCTTTCAAATACTTTAAAAAAATTTCAAACAATCAAAAAACTATAAGATATGCGGCACTTACGTCGGGACACACAGGTGGTTGAAGAAGACGATTTTGAAATCCCACTGGCAATACTATTTTCCGAGGAGGTTTATACTTCTCACTAATTTTGACTGGGATTCCATCCATGTATGAGAACACTGAAATGAGAGTAGCTTTAGATCTCTGCACAACTTTACTTCATAGGTGTCACATGATTTGACGACAAGTGACAATTAAGCATCAACAGACACCATCAACATAGAAAAATGATTCAAACAACCAAGTCTGGTTTTTCTACAGTACGAAATATAACTTACCATGTTTTTCGCCGTCTTTGTCTGACATTTTGATGCTGTTTTAGTCAAGCATTCTCAGCACAGTCCTGTAACAAACCAATGAAATGATGACTCAGCTTACAGAAAATGGGTCGAGAACATAAAACGAGTCAGCAGCAGCTGAGTTTACAAGGAATACAGCAATGCTATATATAAATTGGTGTCATATGCTGACTAACTTTAAAGTAAGGACAACTTGACCACATTAATAGTCCTCGTAGTCCAGCCTCGTAGTACACTAAGGTTATGACACCGTCAACAGGGAACGTGATATAAGCGATACCGATAAGAAACTTACAGTCACCCGTTATTTTCCAACAAATCATGAGACTCGGGGTTATTATCATTTCTTCTACTCGGTAGAATTATGAAAGGAAACTATGTCACAACAAATACCAGCACAACAATTCTTTGATGTTGATATGCTCATTCCCTATGAGCGATTCATTGCGATTGGCTGCGGTGCGCCATCTCTCGGCCAGCGGTAGAATCTCTCGCGGCAGAACGGAACGCCGCGTGAAGAACAAGAACAACATAAAGCCGGAAATATCTTTTTCTTCACTCGTTTCAATCACGGACCATTCTGCTCCGTGGTTTCAAGCATGTTTCAAGTATCAGAATTGACTGTACACGAGGAAAGATAGATACCCCTAGTGACCCTGTTTGGGTCAGATACCATCTTGTTTTCCTGGTTTAGAAACGTGGTTTTACTTAGTGACGGATTAATTTATATTCTTTTAAATTTGAAGAAATTGGTGGAATTCTCGTTTTGAAGTGCCTATCCGTCCATGCGTCCCGAGGCGCCAGCAGGCTAGTCTGTCTCTTTCGCGCTCATGGGGCCTTCCGTAGGCACCCTTGGGTGCGAGTGAGACGGAGAGACGCATCTAGCTCTGCTTATTTTCGAATGTTTGCTCCCGCCACCAATTCTCGCCGATTCGGTCGGAAAGTGGGTTCCCCCCCACCACTTCCCCACCGTTCCCCGCATGTCCCCTCTCGTCTGGGGGCCAACAAACCCCTCGTCTGGGGGCCAACAAGCGGGGAACGGTGGGGAAGTGGTGGGGAGTACCCGCTTTCCGACCGAATTACCTCCACCCTGGCTGTTGACACGTGACAACATCTCCACATCAATACAGTGTACCCTAGCACCACCACTTTTCTGCTTGCGTCGCAATCACGACAGCAGCGTTTTCGGTTGTTAGTGTTATTTTTCTCGAGGGGGGGGGGGGTGTCCTCGTTTGACGCCTTTGTGTTGTACTTCTCCCTCGACCGAAAGTCCAGAAAGCCTCTGCGACTCTGCCACACTGCCACAGCCACGATGCGCGCCGCCGTGGTGGACGGGTCGTGGCTGCAGGACGTGTGGAGGATCAAGGTGCCCGAGCCCGTGGCCGTGGCCGTGGCCGTGGCCGTGGCCGGGGTCGAGGCGAACGAGCTGGGGCTGCAGCCCACGGCGACAGAGACGGAGGCCACCCGGCAGAGGGTGAGTGAGTGAGTGTGTCAGTGCCAGAGCGCCTGCGAACCGCGGGGTAGGCAACGCCGCGACTCTCGTGTGCGGCGGGCCAGGCCGGGGGTGCAGCTCCATTACCATTACCATTAAGGGCTAGACCACACACGATCGTATGCCATTTCGGGCCCGACACATGCCGGCCTGCACTGCAAAACGAGACATGCCCGTCCTTGCTAAGGTGACACTTTATCCCGGCGGGGACGAGCCTCAAGCGACTGGTGCAGGGACTGAGTTACCGGCGGTTTGTTGCGACCGTGTCGCGCAGTGCTCGCGCCTGGACCGCGTGCGCGGCGTGCGCGCGGTGCTCGACGACTACAGCCACACCAGCACGCTGCACGGCGTGGCGCTCGTCGGCAACAAGTCGCGCAGCAAGTGCGAGCGGTGAGTCCACAAATCGGAAAGTCGGCTTCGTCATTTGTAGAGTGATTGACGCTGTTTGGTCCGTGGAAGGTGCTTGTGGGCCGCGGCCGTGGTGGTGTCCGCCGCGCTGCTCGTCTTCGCGTGCCGCGTGCAGTTCCTGATATTCGCCACCGCGCCCAGCATCACGCGCCTGGAGCAGAACAACCTGCCCACATACTCCATCGCCTTCCCCGCCGTCACCGTCTGCCAGCCCACCCGCGTCAAGCTGGAGGAACTCGTCCGCGTCATCGACGTGTGCGTCTCGTGGTCCAAAAGGGCTCTGTCTCTCTCGCACCCACACGGCTCTAGGCGCGTCCTCAGAGTGCGAGGGAGACAAGGGCCCCACCGCGGCTGGAGCTTGTCGTGGTGACTTGGGGGTCCCTGGCGCGCGCTGGCGCGTCGTCCTGCCTGCAGGTACATGAAGAGCTTGAGGGCGCTGCGGGAGCCCCAGCCCGGCCTCGAGGACACGCCGAAGCACGACAACCAGACCGGGCGGACCGGCAGCCGGGCCGGCAAAGAGGGCAAAGAAGAGATTCCCCAGCTGCTGGTCGGCATCATCGAGACCCTGGCCAACTACCACTTCCCGCGCTTCCGCCTCATGAAGAACGGCCTGAGCCTCATCGGCGACCAGCTGAGGTACCTGGACGGGATAGACATCGCCCAGATCATGATGAAGGTAACAGCAGACTGAGAGTCGTTACCTCGATGGGGTCAAATAATCTCGAGGGCACCGATTCCTACAGACGCGGCTCAGTTGCAAAGACTTGCTGGTCCGCTGTTACTGGAAGGGGATTGCCTTCAAGTGCTGCGAGCAGTTTCAGCTTCAGCGCACCGAGATGGGGTACTGCATGTCCTTCAACTCCAGGACCTCGACCGGCCCCAAGATTCTCTGGTAATCTTTCTACGTAATTTATTTGACGCTGCTCCCTCTGTTGCGACCGAGGACCGAGATTCAGAACTTGTGACGTTCATCTTGCAGTTCGGAGAAAAACTGCCACCACGTGTGGTCCACGGGGCCCGGTACCGGGCTCGTCATGGTGTTCAACGACCTGACCAAAGTAATGGAACAGCGGCCGCTGACGCGGGCCTATACCAGGCGAATGAAACATCGCGTCCTTGCGGGACGGCTGTGGCGCAAGTCTACGCTAGAGTAAGTACTGGCTTCTTTCGAGTTAAAAGTTAGAAGAGATGAAATAAAAGGCAACCAACCGGCCCTATGGTTTGCAGCAACAACGCCAGGTCCGTGTGGGACAGTGAAGAAGTGTTCATGGACATCCGCTCATGGCTGGAGAGAGACTACATCCAGGTTAGCAGGAACATGATGTGATTGAGCGTGAGATTTAAAAAGGTGTCGACATCGCTTTCATCTTTTCAATCGTTTCGTTTTCATTTCCTCCTCGCGCGCTGAGCAGGTGATGGTCCATGACCGCACCAAGTTCCCCGCCGTGGAACAGGCCGTCGCCTTCTCGACCGAAGTCAAGACCGACTTCTCCATGGCTGTCGCTTACTCGATCACGGAAGCGGCGGACGACTTGAAGCAATTGCCATTCAAGGTTGGATGCCTCGCCGTCCTTTAGTGAGGAGAGCGATTCAAGCAATACTCCATTCAATCATTCCTGTTATATTTTTGAGGGGGAATTTAAGAACATTGACCACGGCACTGTACACAATGAATTTTACTGGCCCCATATAACCATGTCATATCCTCATCATGAAGCTTTGTGTTTTCTCGGTCCAGGATCGTAATTGTCTATTTTCCAACGAGGCGAAGCTAGAGACGGCACTACAGTACTCGCAGCCCGAGTGCATCACTGAGTGCAGAATGCAGCACGTCGTAGACCGCTGTGGCTGCCGGCCGTACTACATGGAGATCTACGGAGAGCGTTCGGGCAAGTTGACTTTCGTCCTCACTTCCCCCTTCGCGTGGCTCTCATAGTTCGGAAATAGCTTGATAAAGACTGCAGCTCGGTGCGCCTGACAATGCCACGAGGGGAAAGGAGAAACCAGGTGAAAAGTTTGCTAGTATCGTGCACTGCAAAGGGACCCGAAGCAGACCACCATTCCGTCCCACACGCTGGTGTAGGCAGACCGCTCTCTCTCTCTCTCTCTCTCTCTCTCTCTCTCTCTCTCTCTCTCTCTCTCTCTCTCTCTCTCTCTCTCTCTCTCTCTCTCTCTCTCTCTGTACTACCTCCCATTTTGACGTGAAGTCCCGTCTGTCGACATGCTGTCGCCAGCCTCTGTTCCTCAGTGCCGCTTCTCCCAGCTGCCCTGCTTGAGCTCGCTCAACATGATCGCCATCAACTGCAGCCACTGCATCACGACGTGCCGTGTCTCTCGGTTCACCTTCACGGTCAACCCCTCCATCAGCGCCCACATCAGCGACGCAAACATCGGCACCAGCATCGACATCTCTTACGACTCGAACCGCGCCGCCGTCCTCTACAGGCACCAGCTGGCTCACTCCTTCATCGACATCTGGGGTGGGTGGACTAGGGTGGACGCCCCACCCCCTTTTCTTCCTCCCCTCGGTCTTCCCCTGGCCAGGCCAATTTCTTAAAATAGCTTGTTTGCTTTCAGTGACAATTGGAAGTTTGGCGAGCCTTTTCCTAGGCTGTTCTATTCTGAGCATCCTTGATATTCTTCATTTGGTGCTGCGAGTGGTTCGTGTAGCGCTTAGGTCCGATTTCAAACCAGTTTTCAACACAATAGACCACTGAGTGCACTTTCTGTTCACCATATGAGATGAAATCCAAAGGTTCTGGTCTCCAAGATTCTCTGATGCACCCCTTTGTACTTACAGCAGGGTTTACAATGAGTAAATATAGTCAGGGAATGTGAAAGGCTTAAAGAATGACAGAACAATTTTCAGACTTCTCAAACAATTTAATTATGAACATTGAGGGTATACATACCTTGTATGAGTCTCACTACAATCCACAAAGTGAGATAAATTCACTCATTTATCCACAAATAGAATATTTCCAAGAATAACAAAGAGGAAATAAGTAACAACATTAAGTAATAGAAAAATGGTTTCCTGGCTCAAAACTTTCAATTTTTCTATTTCCATGCAGACCCACAAAGCAATACATCGTCAAGTTCAAAATTCCCTGATTTCGCATAATCAGAAGTATGCTAAATTTGCAGAAACAAGTAACAAAACAAAACTAATGTCTAATTGTTCTTAGACCAAACATCATTAAATGCTTTCCTCTGTAACAATTTTGAAGACTCCAGAAGTAATTGAAATCACACTATTAAGAGGTTTAAATAACATTTACCATCTGGGTAGCTCAAAATTTAAACAAGCTTCTGAATGCCGCAGCCAAAAGACATTTATATTCTGAAGAGCTGCTTTTATAAATAAACAAACAAAACACAACAAAAAATTAAAGGTAAGTGCTGAGGGCTTGAATCTCTAGCAACCACCCAGGCCATCTACATGCAACACGCATGCAACAATGAAGCACGGTTTACAGCAACCATTAGTCACTTCACATTTCTAATCACGATGTTAACTAGAAAATAATAAAGTTCAGTCAATTCCTTCTAATCTACAAACTACAAGGAGAACCGAAGGCTTAATTCACTTTACGGCAGGATTCTGCCTCAGCCCCTAAAATGAGCACTCAGGAGTACCTGCCCCTGTTGACACACACACCCACTCTCTTACATACAGAAAAGAAAATATACAGTCCTCAAAAACCTTAACAGAAAAGAAATAATTTATTGTTCACTCATACCCAACTCATGGGCAAAACCTTGACATGGCACAGGAACAAACTCTTTGTAAAACTTTATAAAATATAGAAAACGGAATCACAATAAATGTGGAGTTTCCAAGAAACTCTGAACACATTTTAGAGCAAGTGGCAAGAAGAAGATTTGAATTCTACTCATGCCACTTTTACCTGGACTCACTAGGTACTAGACTACCTGTCTTTTTATGGGGAAACTATGATTGAAGGGGATGCACTACAAATCACAAAACTAAATAAAAATAAAATAACAATAAATAAAAATACAAACACCACCTTTCTTACTAAACAGATGATTTGCTCTTGACATGTGCTTCAAAAGAAAACAATAATAATACAGTTTTCTGATATTTGTCAAATAGTAAAGAAATACCTTTCCAATAACAAGAAATTGAAACTTGGAGGAAAAATTGAACAAGATTCTAATTAATATATAAATGTTCCCTTCCAACCATTTTATTTTGGCAGCTTTAGTACAGGGTTTGCATTTTTATTTGTTTATAATTTAAAAACTTCAAGTCTGTCAGAAAGTATCTTCCAGCACAAAAAGAACCTAACATTCAAGAATTTATTAGTATTAAGGAGTTGGATAGTCATTCTCCAAATCTGCTACTTTTGTCCACAGCAGTTTATGTAAGCTCAGAATATTGGTCTTTTCATAAAATTAGCCATCAACACTGGTCATACATAACAAGAAATGTCAACAAATTAGAAATGCATGAGGAATCTCTTCCTTCTCGTTAAAGTTCATCCTCACTGGAATGGTTACTATAAGTAAGTTGTTCATGCCACCAATCATGCACCTCATTTGTCATTGAGGAAACCTTGAGTAAAGTTGCAGTATCCTTCTGCCATTTAATAGGTTCTGTACTCTCAGTAACATGTGGCAAACTGGTATTTTTAGCTGACCCTGAAATCAAACATGTATAATGCATTGAAATGTCAAATCTGGAAAGAAACCATTAAGGAATCAGATAAGTATTACAATATCTCACCTTGTGTTCTATTATTTCGTTTCTTGCTGCGCTGACTTTCTTTATCCGAACGAACTGCTGGATCTGACAAAGTTGGAGCAAGATATTTACGCCCACTTCCGCTTCCAACACTGTCTGACCTTGGCAAGTTCACAGATTTCTTACTACGATGACGAGTTCCTTCAAACTCCTAGAAAACATTAAAACAGGAAAATTAGAGATGTATATGATACTTCAAAATAATTTAGCCTCACTGCAATGGACAACCTACTTTATGCTCGGTCTCACTGTCACGGTCTAGACTACTCTCCTTGCTCTTGTCTTCTGTGATGTGATGATCGGGCATTGGCAATACCTCATTGGTCGCTCGTAAACCATCAATCAAGCTACTTTGCTGTTTCTAAAAAGAAATAAAAAAGAGTAAATATGTCAGGTAATCAGGATAATAAGAGCCCACACTTATTTTTGCTATTCCCTTACATTGGATGCTCTTATTTTCTTCAAGCAGCCTTCCAACCAAGTTCTAATAGTTTGCTTTGCTACTTCCTCTTCTATTATATATTCAAACTCCTCTCTGGCAAGGAGTTCTTCTAACTGCAAAGCCTTACGGATATCCACTGAACGGTACGACAGCATGCTGTAGATAAGACGTTCAATTAAAAAACTGTATGAGTGACACAAACACAATTTATGAAGGCGGACATAGAAAAACATGCACTCACTTTAGGACGTCATGGAAAGTTACATCCTCTCCGTTATGCAATCGCTCCAGCTCATAACACATGTGTTTAAAAAGAAGGCGATCCTTCTGAGGGTCCACTTCCAAACGCCCTTTTAACAATCTCAAAATAAATTTCACCTGCGAATTTAAGAAAAATGAAGTTAGAAAAAGATATGTGCAGGCCAATTTGAAATTATGATTTAATAAAAAAGCGAACAAAATTGTGTCTAACCCGTTTAACTGGAATCACTCCTCGCTGATGAATGTCAACAACATTCCACGTATTTTGGAAATTGCGAATGTCTGCATATGATAAAAGAGCATCTTCTTCGTTGGAGTAAAACAATGAAAAGTTCTCCATGATGATAGCTGAAAAAGGAAAGATGTTAAGTTAATTAGAAGGAGATAAATTTATTAAAATTGAATCATTATTTAAGGAATTACACCATTTAGACGTCAAGAGGCGTTACTTACCCACTAGCAGATTTAAAACAATGTATGTAATAATCACATAAAAGGAACAAAAGTAAATAAGAGAGGCCTTGAAGTTTCCACAATCTGTTTCCCAGTAATTATCTGAAGGAGTACAATAAGGTGGGCTGACCATGCAATCATGCATGATTTTATTCCAATCCTCTCCAGTAACAATACGGAATAACATGGCAACACCAGTGGCAGGAGATTCAAAGTTAGCTCGTCTAAAAAGAGGGAAATAAATTTGTCATGAATTATATAGGACACTGTTGGTGAAATGCTACATGATTATGATATGGTAAATGAGATACAAACCTGCCTATTCCCTCACCATACTTCACAGTTCCAAACAAAATTGTCCCAGCCAAAGCATAGAAAAATACTAAAAGGAACATGCCAAAAATAATAAAGAATGATTTGCAAACTGAAACACCAACAGTAAGCATCAACATTTTCAAAGTTGCATGTTTTCCCGTGATGGTGAAGAAGCGTAGAATTACAACCATGTAGCCAACTGTGTAGGCCAAATCATTCTGGGAGAAAAACAGACAGCAATAGTTTACTCACACAACAGTCTCAAATAATTACAGTATCTAAATCTTTAAATGCATTTTTCATACACAAACCTGCATTGAGAAGTAAATCATAATCCAGATTACTCCAAGAACAGAAACAAGGAGATCATAGCGATTTCTTCGTGACTGCCAATAGCCCCGTGGGGTAAAGGCAATGTTTTTCATAATTACTTCTACTAGGAATATGCAAGTGAGACCAGCACTCACAGTAGCCAAATAATCTGTTGCTGGATTAGTTTCACGCCACTAGGAAAAGAGAACATAAGTCAAGTGAACTCATTTCAAAGTACAGAAGAGTAAAAAAGAATCGATTGTTATAGGAAACCAACCGAAACACAGAGAAGGCTGCTATTAATTATGACAGTCATTGCTATTAATCTCTTAAAGGAGAGAGCCTGAGTTATATCATAAATAAAGGCTCTGAATTTACGTCCATCAGGTCGTGGAGGTAAGTGAAGGGGCTGAGCAATTTTCAATCGCTTTTTCAGATCACACCTAGAAATTGAGAAACCAAAAACTGTAGATTGAGGAAAATTCCTGCTGTATTTTTCACATAGTGCACTTAACTTACCATCGTCTCTGGTCTACAGTCAGAAGAGCTGTGCCCTTATTCTCAGAATAATTAGCAATGACAACACCGACAAATAGGGTCAAACCAATCATACATCCCAAGAATATATAAATATGGATGTAAATTGCATAGACCTGAAAAATAAGTGACTAGATTTAATACTTAAGCTCTATATACAATTTGAAGACATACAATGCGCTACTTATGGAATGTACCATGCATTAAAATGTGCACCAAACTTAAAAGTAATAAGAGAGTTTATAAGTTTCCTCAAGCTAGGCTGAGGAAGAACTTGACTTTGAGACTGACAAAGCATTGTCAACAATACCAACGCCCTAATGACAGAACTCAACTCAATAATATGACTTGCATACTTCTTTTGCAATAAAATTCATATGTTCTACAAATTAATAGCAGAAATTAAGAGAGAAACAATGTCTACAAAACCCAAAGGGTCCTATTTTTTTTTTAATTAAAAAAGAAAACAAAGCATCACATGCTTTATATTTTGAGCTTCTATAAAAATAAGACAAGATTCATTTATGTCCTTTACACACAGCCATTGTAGCTACACAGGCTATACATGCTTGCTACAACAGAAGTGTAGGACTTACTGGACCCAACTGTTTGATCAGTACATCACGTACATCCAGCCACCCTTTGAACGACAAAACTTCAAATAATGCCAACAAGGCATCACCTATGTTGTCAAAGTTGAACCGCCGAGGATTGGCCCTAATAACACCATAATGAAAATCCTATTTATTGTTACAGGTTCATAGAAACAACAAGGCAAATGATGTTTTTGCTTCAAGCAAGATTGGCTTGAACTTTGAAGAAGGTTATTACAAGATGAAATAGAATTTATCACTTATCTAAAGACAGACTTACCAAACACGAGGAACCAACATGGAAGGATAGCTTTCATTTTCCCCAGGATGCAACCTCATTTTTGAGACAAAAACTCTTCTCATGAAAACACCAATGCAATCTTCCCTTCGTACAATTGTAGGGTCATTACATCTTGCAAGACGTCCTCCAAACATCTGAACACCATAACTTGCAAAAACAAACATGAGGACAATGAGAAGAGTTGATACCTGGAGAGGAGAAAATTAACAATTACAGCAAATTACGTGCTAAACTGAAAGTGTTTTTAGAGGCTGCAAAATTTAGCAAGCATACCAAAAGAATTTCTTTAAAACCTCTACACAGCTCATCAACAACTTTTCTCATGTGCGGCACCAAGATAAAAATTCGTAAGGGCCGAACACAGCGTAGAATCATGAGCAACTGTGCACCAGAAGCAGGTGGAACATTTTGGGGCATCCAGCAGAGAAATGATAAGCTAACCTGAAACAATATTACAAATTAAATACTGTCCTAGGAAACTTGTTTTGTACTTCTTTACATGGAATAGGAAGTAAATTATGAGTACAAACCACATAGATGAACATTTCAAGAATAGAAGCAACATCTTTCATGTAAGCTTTGGGAGTGAAGAAGAGACCATCAGCTAAGATCTTCAAAGCAAGTTCAACACTCATCCCAAACACAAAACAGTATTCAGTAACTTGAAGAGCTGGTGAATCCATGATTCGATACTTTGGCGTTTCAAACATCATTGACAGGCATGACAAGGTAGTTACACAAATCATAACCCAGTCTAAGTAGGTGACCAAACCAAGAAAATTGCTGTAAAACAAAATCAAATCATCAAATCTTTTTACTTCTTGTTTCTTAAAAGAAAAAATTAATTTTAGCTCAGAGTGGCTCACGGTACTTACTGAAGTCTCTTATACTGTACTTTCCGTTCCTTTCCTGTTAAAGGATCTTTTAATCGAGCATCGTAACGTGCATACACAGCTCGCTGACAAATTCTACGGAAAGTGCTTTCCCTAGGTACGGCAAATAAAGGAGTGTCGAAGAATGGATGGTTTTCTCGCAGGTCATCTTCTCGCTGAGTTCTGAAAATAAGAGGCAATCCAGTTATGTCTTTTTTATTTTTTTAAATGTAATCCACACTGTAAGATAAATAAAGGCAAGTATTTACCTTCGCATTTCTGCCTGCTGTCGCTTTGCCTGCAGCAGCTTGATGTCCAAATCGTGAGGTCTCGCTCTCGTTGCACTGACTCGGTTCATTGCGCCGATGTCGCCGTTCTCCATCAGATGCTCGTAGGTCTGCTTCAGCTTGATCGATCCACTGCGAACGCTGCGACGAATAGACCTGGATCGCATGCTGCATATCATTGACAACTCTTTGCACCCTGTCTGCAATGGTGTACATGCCCAGGACCTCTTATGCTCCAGAAGTCAGATACCGGGACTCAACCATTACTTTATATGTCTTAGACATCATGGCCAAGAGCTAAAGGGTTGCTAGGATAGGGATCACACTAAGTTGTTGCACATAAAGTAAATTAAATGAGAAACCGGTAGTCTGATCACTGTTACAGAAGAGGTAAATTATTTAAGTTTATTTATCTTATGTTTAAAAGTTATAGAGACTGATGTTTCAGTCTTTTATGTTTTCTTTCATTTAGCTTTAGATATAATGTTTGGTGCAACGTCACAGAACAAGTCACATGACCACACAAAACATGTTAACCATAATGCTAGTTAGAAGTAAGATTTTATGATATTAAATGAATTATTTAGCAAAAGAGAACTGAGTTATTTAATAAAATGATGTATGAATTATTTAAGCCATTTTAATTGTGGGCTGTACACCATTTCCAGAAACTATTCACTATTCTAATAACAACCAACCATCTATGAAACAGCTAAAGTGCTGGATGTAGCAATTGCATACATGAAGCATAGGCTCAGTGCCCTACACACTTGATGATGGAATCTGGTTCTGATTGAAGCAGTTAATCAATCAGTTAACATTCATGCTTGTGGTTAAATGTGCATAGAATTATCTATTATTAATTTCAAATTTAGACAAGGCAGCAGATTATTTAAAATTCAAATTTTCATGCTTAAGGACTGGTAGTTGGGTGTACATGCAACTGTAAAATTGATTTGAAAAGTATTTACATAATGAGAGCCAAAATTCTTTACATTTACGCATAAATCAATGGGTTTACACATTTGGTTTACACACTCCAGATCTACCTTTCGAACAAACCAACAGCTACCCCAACGAATTATAAAGCTCACATCCACTTACAATGTAATTACATTGGAGAGAGGGAGGGAGGGGGAAGAGTACATAGCTGGCAGAGATGAATCTGGTTTTCCAAAAGCCCCGGTGGGTTTAACTAAAGCATTTAGGTTCTTATCTAAGTAAAAGTAATGGTTTCCAAAGATACATGCTTTTACAGGCAATTTATGCATTAGGTAGTTACCTCTTTCACCAGAGAAGTGACTCTATCTAACTGCTTAATTATTTTAAAAGAAGTTTGAGTACTTGTCCATCTTTGAAGTCAGTAATTTATACCATCTACTAAGCGCTAATAGGTACAATTAACCACCTTCTTATTTTCTTCAGATTACTATTAAGATGATCTACTAAAGATTTATTAATTTTAAAAGCTCAAAAAATAAAATGAGTGAAAAATATAATTCACTGTACGGAAGTACACACTTTAAAACTTTGCAACATATGTGCAATATGTGCACAAGGGTAAGACAATAAAGCATTGCAAATATTCATAAATTCATTGTGCTATAGTAAGGCAGAAAAACCTCAAAATAATAAAGCTTGTTTTAACCTCCTAATGGCATTATTTCTTTGAAGGAGCTAGATACCAGTAATGAGATTTGCTAAGTTAAAATGAAGAATCGTTATGAGTTTCTACTTTATGATATATTGCAAATGCAAGTAGATAAGAATTATGTGGACCTCAAAATTATCGGACAGAGATGGAAAGAACATTATGACCATCACTTCACTGAGAGAAAAACTCACTTTTTCTGATCGATTCGAAGCTGTTTGGCACTGCTGATTGTGCCTTGAGGGTTGAGAGGCCCCTTGCCTGGCACAGCAATAACTGCTGAATCTCCCAGCATGAGTCGTTGGTTGTTTGAATCACTGTCAAAAGGCAAAAATGATGTTAAGGATGATACCATGGGTGAAAATTCAGAAATGTTACTCTTCACTAAAACCACAACTCACTTGATGATATAGGTAATAGCAGCCTTGCGAAGATCTGCACTGACACTCCGGACTTTCAGGGTTGTGGTGAGAAGATGCACAGGCTTTTGTTTCCGATACACAACTTTGGAGTCAAATGCCTCACTGACTCGTTTCATCCCTTCTATCTCATCATCCTCCACTTCCGTCACAAAGTGGCGCATAAAACTCTCTCGAACCTGTTCATCAGAGGGTACAATAAAATAAAACATCCAGAAAATATTAAAATTGTTGAAATAAACTCAATATTGAGCATTGCACCTTTGGCAAAATGAAGTCGGAAGGAAGTTTATGAAGACAAGCCATCTTAGGACTATCCGGAAATTTCTCAAAAATTCTGAGTCGGAAGGGGAGAGTTTCTTTGATTTCGGCACTTTGTTCTCGAAATTTGAGCTGCTTTAGTTTCTTTATATCTTCATCCAATTCTAAATTGTCAAGAATGACAGCGACGAACAAGCTGAGCACAATCTGGAAGCAGTGGCAAAATGCAATTAAAAGGTTCATTATCATTTACATGTCCAAGGCAAGCTTAAACTTATTTGTGAAAAAAAAATAACAGTGCCCATGAAAAATATACTAACCAAAGTCACAAACAAGTGATATAAAATGAAATAAACGGCAACAAGAGGAGCCAGGGTTTCTCTGGTTCGCAACATTGTCTCATCCATAACTTCAACCCATGCTTCTTGGGTGAGAATTTGGAACATAGACATAAAGGCCTGTAATATGACCATATTGGCATCAATAATTCAAGAATCCAAGCTGTCACACCTTGACTGTTGTATGGTCTTACCTCAGGAAAGCTTTCAAATTTAGTAAAATCACAAAGAAAGCAGAATAGTTGCATGGATATTGATGAAGAAATAATCAACAGGCACATGGTAAAGATAATGAGACTTCCTAGTTTTTTACCAGGACCAAAGACTTTATACACAAAGTCTTCAAGCATGGGAGATGCTGTGATCAAGCGGACAATCCGGAATACCTACACAAAGAAACACAACTATTAGCACCATTAAAGGTAAGTTAGATGCGAAATTAAAATGTGAAAACAAAATGTTACCTGAAAGTATGCAAGTCCTGAGAGATATAAATATGGAATTATGTGCAGAGTTGAGCCTATGGCTAGTAATAGTTCAAACTTGTGAATTGATTGCTTGAAATACGTTCGAAATCCAAGGCACCATATTTTAAATAATGATTCCAAATTCAAAAATATAGTAAAGCAGAGCTAGAAAGGAAATAGTTCATGGATAAATAAATCAATGTTTTAAAAAATACAAAATTACTTTCTAACAGAAGATTTATTTTTAAATGCCATACCTCAATGTAATAGTAATGTTCATAGAAGTCCTCTCTTGGGCGCTCATCATGTTTAAAGTTCATAGTAGCCATACAAACACCATTGCTCAGTATGACCATCATAGTTATCATTCTGAACCAAGCGGATCGCAAGACACGCTGACATATTTCTGGAGCAAGTCTTCCTTTCTTGTGATCATCAAGTGTTACCAATTTCCAGCCACCAGAATCATCACCCATCAATATCTAGGAAAGAAAATCGGTTGAGATAAAAACGATATACAATTCAACAAACAAAAACCAAATAGGGAAGAAAATACTATACCTGTGAAGCAGTTTTGTTCGTAATGTGGCCTCGAACCCCCCACATCTGCTGGAACTGTACTCTTATTTCATTGAAAGTTTCAGTAATTACGGCAATGAAAACATTTTTCACCAGCCAAGCCAAAAAGAAGATCATTGTGGAGAAGTAGAAGGCAGCTCTCCAACTTGGCAGAGAATCCCATGCCCGAAACATGATGAAAACCCAACCTTCTTGTGAGGCTGCTTGGTACACCGTAAAGATACTCGTGGCTGAGACATAAGGTAGATCAATATTAGTTCAATGTCAAGACTATAAGAAACAATATTTTTGGAGGCAAATAGACTGAGACATACCAAATTCATCAAACCCATTGAACCCCATGGTGTAACGTGAAAGCTCCAGTTTCATGCATTTCATTCCAGTGGGACATTGATACCCTGAGTCAGGGTCAGTCGAACAGAATGTGTCAGGTATGGCCAAACTGTTAATTGTGATGTGCCTAGAGAAAGGAGAAATAAAGCATTTGTGAAAGAAAGGTCAGTAGAAGAAATGTGAGATTAACATCATAGATGTAAATCTATAATACCTTGGTTCTGTTTCATTCAATACACAGTGGTTTTTCAATTCTCCAAAGAACTGTACTCCTAGCAAGCCATAAAGCGACATGAAGAATAAGAAAAACAGTGTTACATTGTAAATTTGCTGGCTGGATCGTCTGTAAAATAAAAGCATGATACAGAGTGTGAGTAGACAAATTAATTTCAAATTCCCACAAGTAATGAAAACCTTAGATCACTTACTTGAAAATTTGATTTATCCTAGACTTTGGCATTGAAAACTTGAGGAAGACACGTATGAAGCGTATCATTATAAGTGGTCTAGGCGCTCTCAAAATAGAAAGATAACTAAAACGGGGTACAATGCCAAGCATTTCAAAAGTGTGCAGGATGACTGACATCCACAAGAAGAAAACCATGCTTGCATCAAATTGACACCAATGATCCTTCAAGTATGGACTGTCCCCCTGAAAACGAAAATGGATACGTCAGCATAAACCAAACACCAATAAAAATTTGAAAAAATTGAGAATTTTGTAACACAACACCACTTGCCTTTAGGATGCCACGAATATGCATTTTAGCCACCATTTCAGCAGTGTACAGAAATGATACTACTAGATCAGTAATGAAGGTGACATACTGAAGAGGTGGGTGCCGTTCAAAGGTTTTGGGAGTATTGAGGCTGACAGAGATGAGGCTCAGCAAGGCACAGGCCCGCATCAAGCGCCTCACCCAGATCTGCAACAAGAGACAGGGATCAATTGCTGTCCATCTTTCAAGAATTTGAGACTTTAGCGCAGATATCAAACAGAGACAGGAGCTGAGCTCAATGGAGGTCCCCATAACCTCTTGACGGCGAGAGGAGAGGCAGGGGCATACGTACCTTGTTGACCCATTCTATATCCGCACTTTCGTTGAGGCATTCATCGGGACCGTAGTCCGCGAGTAGCTGCTCTCCTTTCAGACTTTGCTTTCGCCCCAACATCGTTATGAGCAAACCTCGGGCGTTCCGTTACTCCTCTTAAAAATTCGATACTAACAACAGTGCGAGCGACCCTCTCCCCAGCTCTTTTTGGTGACAGCAGTGAAACACCATTTTAAAAACTATTCCCTCGCCATGTTGAACGAAGATACTGTCCATTTCAAAAATGTTAAAATCATCTTGGTTTGAAGAACCACTTTCCAGTACAGAGTTGACAGAAACTAGCAGACGAAACCAACACGAACCACTACTTTTGTTCTTCTTTCCAATGCCAACTTTATCAACCAATCGGAAAATAAGGCCTAATCAACGAAATAAAAACTCAGACCATACAAAGAGAATGAACGAATTTACGCACTTCGATCGATAAATAAATCAGTGCGCTGCTTAAGTAAATTTAGCTGGTGCAAAAGTCATTGAAGAGAACCGGTTGGTACGCCTGAATGTCATTGCAGACGACAGAAAAAGTAAGAATCTGGGAAGCCGTGGTCCCGTGCACTGGCAGTCAAGTCATATGACAGACCCAGTTCCTTCATATTGTCATTAAATATGTTGTTCAAAACGTTAGTTGCAGCTCTCTGCATCGCTGGTAAGTCTTATATCCGATTTAACGTCTTTTCTCTGTGAGATCCGAACATTCTTGATGCGCGTAAAAGCCACAATTTCTACGCCACAATGTTATCTTAACATCGATGTTGTTTCTAACCAAACTTCAATCTAAACCCTACAAGTCTCGTTTCAATCGAATGTTGTTTTCTCGGACTCGTCAAGTTAATGTTCATGTTTTCTTGTAGCTGTTGCAGCGGAGGGCGAACTGCAAGTACTTCATTCTACCGATTCTCTTCATTTTCATGGCCACGAACGCCTCTCTCAGGACACCTTGAAAGAGGTTCTCTCAGCTTCCTTAGGTTTTACTATTGAAAAGGTAGGTTCCGGCCATTGATGGTTTGTGGGTGTGTTTGTGTTTCAGTAAACATCGTTCCCACAGTAACATGTTGTATTTCTTATTTTGGTGATTTCAGAGCAGTGAATGGAAAGGCCTCCGCATCCTGGACCCTTTCAAGTACAGTGAGGCTGTTGCTGTGCTTGTCGTAGATGGTGTGAAATCCTTGGATTCTAAGCTGCCACACACTCATCGCTACCCCCTCACTACAACAGAGCATGAAGAGGACACTTGGCAGTCTTTGCGATCACGTATTGATGCCAGGTTCCCCCATAAAGTTCACAACAATACTGTTTACCGAGTAGATCTCCAGGACGTTGTGCTGGTGAGATAAGACAGTCAATCCTCCATCAGTTTTCCTGTGTTCTCTTATAAACAATTTATATCTACCTTCATCCTTTGTCTGGCATAGGGAGAGAAGTCACCTTTATTAGATGGTGTCCGAATTGCTCAAGACTCCCAGCAATACGAATTCCTTGATGCTGAGATTGAAGAAGATGCCCAGTTGATGAAGGAAGTTCAAGTCCTCAGAGCTTTAGCTCACAAGGTATTAATGATAGTCACATGAAACAGTTTATGGGCAACCCTGTTAATCTCTTGTACAGCCTTTTCATTCTTGTCCACCATTAAAATTTTTGTTTTGGTTGCTCAACAGATTGAGACTCTTGGTAATGCTCATGATGGTCTCCCCGACCTCTATTGGATTGTTTTGCGTGGACTGCATGCTGTGTCTGACCGCCACGGGGCTGATTCGCCCACGACTCTTGAAGCCAAGCAACTTGTATCAGACGCTGCAAATGTTCTAAGCCAAGCTTTCACTAGTGTCTATGATGGACGTGTAAGTACTCACATCTTGTTCTTCTGTTCAGTGCTTGCATTGGTTTTTGTAATTAGATTCTAAATCTATTGCAACTTTTTTCTTCAAACCAGGTGGTTTTTGCTACTGTGGCTACTGATTCAAGTCACACTCGCCGTGCCCGTAGCCTTCTTCAAGATAGCACTGCTGTAAGTGTTGAGATTTCACTATTCATTTACAATATATTTATCTTGTTTTCATTTTTCTGGTATATTGTAGAGAAATGTTAATTTATCATTGCAGACTGTTGATGCTCCGGATGCATACAGTGAGGACTTCCCAGTGATTTTCAACATCATTCTCTGGTTCTCGATTGTGTTGGTCTTTGCACTCATTGCTATCTCAGGTAAATTTGCTTGTACAATGCTTAGTAATAGTTTTCCATTCCAACTATTATTCACTAATTCTATTTTTGTTTGCCAGTTGCCATTGCTGACATGGACCCAGGCCGTGATTCTATTATCTACCGCATGACAAGCACAAGAATGAAGAAAGACAACTAGAAACTTTTTTTCTCATTGAACTTTTGATTGATGTGTTTCCTAAAGAAGCTCTGATTTCATGTGCTTGGTACTTCGATTTTATTTTTATCCTTGCAGTATTGTGTGTGGATGTTATCAGTAATTCAGTTTTGCATCTATTTCTTCACAAAGTTTGAAAACAGGACTGTGTGCCTGTTGCAATGTTTCTTTCATTTTCAATTTTTTTTTGTCCCCCGCCCCCCCTATTGTATCTTGTATTTGAATTATAATTTTACTTAAATATTTAAAAAGCTGTTGATGTGTATGGAAGGCTTTTCAGGGCATTTACACCAGTAGTAAATGAGATTCCCAGTTACATGCTCCAATTCCATTTCTTTTAACTAGACATTTTTTCTGCATTTTTAAGCATTCCGTTAAATATTTTCTTTTATCACCTTGTTGATGTACAGTGTAGAGTATGATTTAAGTCTGTGTATGTATGCATGTGAAAATTATTGTACATAAATTTAGTCAGGTGTTAAAATCATTTTGTGCTAGTTATTATGTTAAATTTTTAAATGTAAATCAATCTGACGTGTTTCTTCCACCTTAATGTTGTCTGAAACTCTTTGCCAAGGTGTTAGTTACATATGAGGACCAGTGTGGGCTCTCCTTTATTGGTTCTGTTAATGACTTACACTATTCATGTTGTGTTGATTTGAAGTTAGGACACTCTTTTTTATGGTTGTTCCTTCAGGTTGCTTCTAACATGGCCATATCATGGAGGACAAGATACATAATCTTTCTGTGAATTTAAATTCACTGCCTTGTTATATAAAATGAAAACCATTTAATTAAGAAAACAGCATGAGTACTTACTGCTTCAGTGTTAAGAGCAGGCTGTGCCTGTGTTTAAATAGCCACAACCTAGGTTAATAGTAGAGTCACATCTTAGGAAATTTGGCTTTTGAGTGGTGAAAAATATGCGGATGTATAACGAGAAGTGGCGAATAAAGAAGGACGAACGAATTCAAAATGTGGCTTTGTACTTTCCTTGTTTTTTAGAGCTCCAAACCGCGTAGGGTAGTATGTTCTCTCTGAACCAGGAAGCTATTGGCTGCTGCGGGCTGCGAGGGGGAGGGGCGGGGGCGTGGGGGAGCAAGGGGGGGTCTGGCTTGGCTTCCTCCGAGACAAAATTAAACTCGGGGCGTTCCTCCGCGTCGGCGTGGGACTGGTGGGGACTGGTGGGACGCCTCAAACACACGGGCCTCGCCGGGTCGCCCTCGCACTCGCAGTGCACCGCCACATGGCAGCCCGGCCGCCGAGCCGAACGCTGCCACCACCGCGTAGCGCCGCGTAGCGCCGCGTAGCGCCGCCGTGGACATGGACAGGCCGTCTCCGAGTGCATGATCGCGAATCGCGGCCAATCAGGGTGAGGCGGACGCGGCCTTCTGAGTGAAAGAGAGAGAGAGACAAACGGACTGGGGCCCAGCCAGGCCCGGCCCGCCGTGAGAGATGTCCGCCGTGGTTTGCGTGGTGTGCGCCGCGCCCGCGCCGCTCAAGTGCTCCGCGTGTCAAGGATCGGCGTACTGCTCGAGAGAACACCAGAAGCAGCACTGGAAGACGCACAAGGTTTCCTGCCGCCCGTTCGAGGTGAGGTCCAGGACACTGCGCCACCGAGTCCAGGCTAGGCCAGGCGCGGCATAGTGGCGGGCAGTCTCAATGGGTTGACTCACCCCGTTTGCAATCCATTGGCCTCAGGTGCGGTCGTCAGCTGATCTGGGCCGCCACCTGGTCGCGACGCGGGATGTGGCGGTCGACGCCGTGCTCCTCACGGAGGCTCCCCTGGCGGTAGGCCCGCGCCACCATGACAACCCTCGCGGCCCCTGCGTGGGGTGCCTGCAGGCCCTGCCCGCCGTCCCCACCGAATCACAGGTAAACAGTTCATTTCGTTACGATGGGTTTCCTGCGGTGGCTCCTGGGTTCGATAAGCAGCGTGGCAGTGTGTGCAGGCGATGTGCCCCGGCTGCCTGTGGCCGTGCTGCTCCACGGAGTGCCCCGGCCTGGGCGACGCCCTCCACCACGGCGCCGAATGCCGCGTGCTGCAGGCCGGCCGCCACGTCGTGCTGCAGAGCGACCTGCGCTACGACGCGCTGCTGCCGCTGCGCTGCCTGCTGCTGCAGAAGACCAGCCCGTCGCGATGGCGCATCTTGCAGGTGAGGACGCCGCGACTGGCTCTACTCCTTTGCCGTCTGCAGGAACCGCTCTGACGGCTGGGTTGCGCAGGCCATGGACTCACACTCCAAGGACCGCGGCCCCGGCACGCCCGTGTACCGCGAGACGCAGAACCGCGTCGTGTCGTACTTGCGTGACAACTTCCTCCGGCCGCTCTCCGTCATCGTGTCCGGCTCCCGCGCGTCCGCCGACTCCGTGGAGGGGCTGCTGGAGGACTGCTCCGAGGCCACCATCCACCGCATCGTCTCGGTCCTCGACGTGAACGCCCTCGAGGTGAGTCCAGGGCCAGCGCCTCGGCCAGCGCCGCCCTGCAGTCTCGACGGCCTCGTTGTTCACGCCCCTGCCCACAGATCGGCTCCGGGGGCGTGGAGTTGTCGGCCCTCTACCCCACGGCCTACTTGATGGAGCACAGCTGCGTCCCGAACACGAGGCATACCTTCGGGTCGGCGTCGTCGGCGGAGCAGCGCTCCGACCGGGCCAGCCTGGACGCCGACTTCAAGATCACGCTCCGCGCTGGCGTCGCCATTAAGAAGTATGAAAAGACATTGACGCTCCTGTAAGGCCAAAAGCATCCTGCTGTCACTCTCTCGCCCCTTTTCAGAGACGACCACATTTCCACCATGTACACGCACATCTTGTGGGGGACGATGGCGCGGCGCGAGCACTTGCTTGCCGTCAAGGGCTTCCACTGCCGCTGCCGGCGTTGCGGGGACCCCCGCGAGCTGGGCTCCATGCTGAGCGCGCTGCGGTGCCTGTCCTGCGGTTCCCGCGGCGACGTCGCGGACGACGCCTTCCTGCTGCCCACCGACCCCCTGGCAGACAGCGCGGACTGGCGCTGCGCCGGCTGCGGGGCGCCCCTCGCCGCGGAGCACGTCGTCCAGGTGAGGCAGTGGGCCAGAAGACCGGTGGAGGAGGCCAAAATCCCGGCCGGGTTTTGCGCCCATCAATGGATTGCTCTCCGAACGAGGAATCCATTTTGGTCGAGGTCACACGTTTGGTTCCAGTCCTATTTAGCGACACTGCAGCTCAAAAGGCGTCTACACTGAAAACCCAAGGGCGGTAAAATTACCACTTTCGAGGGCGGTAATATTGCTACGGGCGGGATCCATTTTTTACCGCCTTTCCAAGGGCGGTACAAAAATTGCCACCCTTTGAAGGCAGTAAATTTACTACCTTTCACAGTTGTATCGCCTTGAATATTCCGTTTGGAGGGAACATTTAAGGTGGTACAGCTGTGAAAGATGGTAAATTTACCGCCTTTAAAAAGGGTGGTAATTTTTTACCGCACTTGGAAAGGCGGTAAAAAATGGATTCCGCCCGTAGAGGGCAGTAATTTTTTTACTGCCTTTGTAACGCCATGTGTACCGCCTTTCAATTTTGGGCGTAGGGTTCTGGCCCACTGTGCAGCGCAAGGTGCAGCGCCCAGCGTCCAGAGACGAACGCCTGCGGGGTAGGCTGTCCCGCCGCACACGCGTGCTCGACGGCGCGGCCCAGCCCGCACTTCACAGGCGCTGAGTGCAACCTGTACTACACCGGGTCGACCGGGTTTGCTGGCAGGTCGTCGCCTCGCTGGACGAGCAAGTGGGGCGCGCGCTGGAGGGCACGGGGGACGCGCGGATGCTGGAGGACGTGGCCAACAAGCTGGACAAGCTGCTGCACCCGCACCACTACCACTGCCTGCAGGTGAAGCACTCCCTGCTGCAGGTGTACGGCAGCCAGCCCGGCCTGGAGATGGACCGCCTGAGCGAGCAGCAGCTGCAGCGGAAAGCAGGTCAGCACAGTGGAGGTGCTCAAAATCCGATCAAAATCCCGGACGCGTTTTGAGCTCCAGAGTCGCTAAATGGGACTCGAACCGAACGTGTCACCCCACCAATATACGTTGCTCTCCGAACGAGGAATCCATTGGTGGGAGTCACACGCTCGGTTCAAGTCCTTGTGTAGCGACTCCGGAGCTCAAAACACGTCTAGAGTGTTGGCCGCCGGCGCCGTTTTTCTGGCCCACTGTGTAGTAGAGCCCTGACTAGGACTTAGAACCCTAAGATGAACGCTGTCTGTGGGCCCAGCGCTGTGCCGCGAGGTGATGGGCGTGCTGCTGCAGCTGGACCCGATGCTGTGCCGCTTGCAGCTGTACGCCTCCGTCTGCCTGCTGGAACTGCAGCGCGCCGACCTGGAGGCGCTCAAGAGGTCCCTCGCCCTGCCCGCCACCTCCGCGGCCGCCGTCGCCGCCGGCGTCCAGGACATGCGCTCGCTGCTGCAGCGCGCGGTGCACGCCCTGCGCTTCGAGGCGGACTCCAGGACGGCGTCGGACGGCGCGCGGATGGCCCTGGCCGTGCACCGGGCCCGGCAGGACCTGGACGTGTGGGCGCGCGTGCACAAGGTGGCCGTGCCGCCGGGAGGGGTCAGCGCGCCCAGCGCGCCCAGCACGTCCACCGCGCCGTGAAGGCACGCCCTTGTCACTCGATCCATTTCAAATAAATAATAATAATAATATGCGTTTTTAATTTTGTTTTCCCCGCCAACATCACTTTGGGACAGCAACATGGTGGAAATGATGAAACAAGGCGTTGTACTGTTGGCAGCGCGAATAATTTATTTTTAAACTTTCAACAAAGGTTAAAGTGTTGAAACAATTGATTCATTTTCTCTTGGACGCCATGCTGTCCTCACCGGCCGCGTTGTCGTTGGCGTCCTCGTCGTCGAGGAGCGCGTTCCGGACTTCGGAGACCCCCACCCCCTCCAAGGCCGTCCCGCCCGTCTTGCCGCCCGTCTGGAAAGAAACGCACACACACACACACACACAAAGGGTCAAAGTGCGGAAAAACTAGTTTCGAGCGAAATGGTGGGTGTGACACCCCGAAAAGGGACTTTCAAAATAGAGGGGCGGGTATTTAAACCTTTCACCTTTCGCATGACGCGGTTGTAGTCGGGGTCGTAATCCCTGGGGCCATTCTGCATGTAGGCCGGCTGCGTTGCCGTGCCGTGGAGTATCAGCTGGAACGCCCCGAGACTACCCACGCGCGCCTCGCCGGGACTCTAGAAAAAGAAAATACAATCACAAAGAACTGCAACTGAAAATGTCAAGTTGGTCTCCACTCACCTTGTCCACCACTTCCAACAGCCAGACTCCCTGCGGCCGCTCCCCCCACGTGAGCACGGACATGAAGTGCCAGTCCTCGAAGCCGGCCGAGGACGCGTCCCTTTTCCTGGGGCTCAGGATTTGCACCTTTGTATCTGCGGACACGCCATGTGGACACGCCGTAATATTTATTTTTATAATCGTCGTCGCGTATTTCCGTCGAACGTAAATGATAAATCGAAACTAAATCGAGTGCCTACTCACCGGCTGGTGACGTGAGGTACATCTCGAGTGCGCCCCTGACGGGGTACTCCACGTTCGACACCACCTCCACGTGCTCCAGGAAGTTGACGTCGCTGCAGTCGTCCACCACAAACAGTACGCCGGCGCGCTCGCCTCGCGCGAAGCTGGCATTGCTGCCCAGAAGGAAAACAAAACAACCCCAGGCGTTGCACTCTAGTCGTTCAGGATGGCTGCGTGAAGGGCTCGAAGTACCGCCAGACGACACTCACACGACGAGGCCGTTGACGGCGCACTCCGCCTTGTCCGGGACGGTGGTCCAGCCCTCGGCCTGGCGCACCAGCTCGTCCGCGTTGAGCAGCCCGAAGCCGAAGCGCGTGTTGACCCAGAAGCCGGCCGCGTTCTGCCGCCACCCGGGGTTGTCCGCCAGCGGGGCGTACTCGGAGGAGCTGGCCACCAGGTGCTGCACGTCGCGCCACGTCAGCGACGGGCTGCGGACAGGGCACGCGAATCACTCTCGGGGCCGTGGCGGCGCGTCACAGCGGCACAGCGACGCGACCCTGCTCCACCACCAGGACTCACTTGGCCTCCAGCGCCAGGGCGATGATGCCGGCCGCGAGGGGCGCCGCCGCCGACGTGCCGGTGTGCCGGATGGTGCACGTGTTCTTGAGGTCCGTGGTGGCCTGCGGGGAGCGGAGTGGCGGGCTCACATCATTGCAACGACACGCCGCCTCGAACCGAACGGTCTTGGCGCGGACCCGCGGACGGCGTACTCACGATCATCTGGTCCCAGTAGGCGCCGGACGAGTAGGCCGTGGCCATGGTGGAGGCGCAGCGCTCGCCGTACCAGGGGAAATGGCCGCGCTCCGACGCCGAGCCGATGGCCAGCGTGTACACCGAGTTGACGTAGCCGTCGCAGTTGCAGTTGTCGCCGTACGTGCCGCCGTTGCCCGAGGCCCACACGTAGATGGAGCCCTTGCCGCCGCGACCCTGCGGAAAGTAGAGTCGACGGTTCGATTCCCGTCTTCCCGTCACCGGCGCGCTGCTCAACCTTTTACCGGACTCGGTGACCTGACCTGCGTGATGCCTCGCTTCATGGCCTCCATGGCCAGCCTTCCCGGCCCCTCCACGGTCATGCCGTCGTCGTTGGGGCCCCAGGACGCGCTGTAGATGTCCACCAGGGTGTGCGCCCAGCCCAGCGCCGTGCCCTCCATGCGATCGTTCACCTCGCCGTCGAGCAGCCGGACGCCTGCAGAACGCAATCAGTACCACACTGCAGCACTCACTCGTCCCGACTCGTCCGAAAGCGGTGGCCTCCTCGACTCACCCCCAATCCGCGCGTTGTACGCCACACCGACGCCGCACTTGTGGTTGTTGGCCTTCATGGCGATCTCGCCGGCGCACCGCGTCCCGTGGGCGTTGTTGACGCCGTTCTCGTAGCGCGGCGTGGGGTCGAGGTCGCCGTCGTTGACGTCGTAGCTGATGTCCGGGTCCTGGAGGGGAAGGCACGCGGGGAATGACATGAGGTGGTCGTCAAACATAAAGAGAGGCAGACGGCGACGGTAGGCGGCACGCAACGCACGTAGTTGTCGCGGAGGTCCTCGTGGTCCGTCTCCATGCCGTCGTCCAGCACGGTGACGCGCACCCCGCGGCCCGTGATGCCCCGGCAGTACACGGGCAGCACGTGCAGGTCCAGCTTGGGCAGGTCGAGGCGCGTGCGGGTGTCCATCTGGAAGCACGCAAATCGCCAAATCCCAATTCACAAGTTTGGCGTTCTTTTCCTTTCGCCTGCATTGGCCTGTCTGCTCACCAAGTACCACTGCTTGGTCCACAGCTCATCGTTGAACAGGCGCGCGCGCTGGGCCGCCGTCACCGCTTCCGGGTGCTTCAGGGAACACCCCAGCTTTCCCGCCAAAAGCTCCGTGTCGTTTAGTTCCGGCGTGCTCCGGAGGGTGGCGCGCCCGGCGCGCCCTGGCGGACCGTGGCCGTACGCACGTACGTACCCCAGTGGGGACGCCCCACGGGCAGCCCCACGGGCAGCCCCACGGGCGGCAGGCTGCAGGGGCGGGCCGTCATCGGGGGGGACCCGGTTAAAATCCCGCTTCTGCCTCGGCCTGGTGAACTGCTGTTCCGCCCAGACCACCTGCCACACACGGCAATCAACAGACACATCATTAGACCGGATATTATTCAATAAAGACCCCATCAGGGCGAAAGCGAGGCTCCGATGTGACCGCAATGTGACCGATTGGAGCACATTGCGGCAATGACATTCCCCAACGCGCAACTGGTTGATCGAGTATGTCATTGACGGGTTCACTGGGTTCTGTCGTTCTGTCGAATCAGAATCCGAGAGTGAAGCATCGCGCTGAACTATTCAGATGGCCGTGCGGCGCAAGCGCGGATCCAGGGGGGGGGGGGCAAAAGGACAATTGCCCCCCCCCCCTTGACCCCTAGATAGCCGCCTGAAAGGTAGGCAAAAAGCACCAATTTGCCCCTGTAAGTAGGCAAAAAGTGCTACTTTGCCCCCCCCCCTTGGGCTGACTCTGGATCCGCCACTGGTGCGGCGCCATGAGCGAGCCGTGACGCGCCCCGATGGCCGCCTGGCCGCTGAGGCCGCTGAGGCGTCACGACGGTGGATCGCATTAGCGTCCGGGATGAGATTAGCCTAGCCTCCCTGCGAGCCAGCCGGCCGAACCAGCAGGCTCCTTCCGCTCTGTCTCTCTCGCGCCAGCGGCGCCAGCTAGACACGACCCATGCATGCGAGAGAGACAGACAGCTCGATGGAAGCATTTTTTCGGAATCAGCCTGCAGGAGCGCCCTTGCCGTATCGCTGCCTCTATCGCGATACGCCCGGGAGCTGCAATGTGCCGCACGGGGCGGGGCGGGGCCGGGGCCGGGCCGCCCAAAGTGGTTTATCCCTGCGCAAATAGCCTGGACGAGGAGTAATCTACCGCCTATAGCCCCGCGGCGGCCTGCCTGCCTGGCCTCTACCACCCCGTGCACCGACACCTCCCGCTTATCGCCTGGTAGCGAGCACTGATAAGGTCAGAGTGTTATTCGACGGCGTCACAGACTAATGACGAATCCAGGTGAAAAACACTCTCTCTCTCTCTCTCTCTCTCTCTCTCTCTCTCTCTCTCTCTCTCTCTCTCTCACATACACACACATACACACACACACACACACGCCTAATGAGTGACACGCAATACGCACTCTTCAGTGCTGATACGCTCAATAACAAGGAACGTGGAAAGTGACTTATGCCCTGACGATAATTCTGCCGTCTCCAGTTTCGTAGCACTCACCCTGTCGTCCTGCACGAGGCGCAGCGTCAGGTTTGGGTAGGCCCGCTTCTGGGCGCGGGGGTGGTCCGCCCGGACCATCAGGTAAGTGTCTCCAAAGCCGGGGATCTGCGAGGGAGAGAGCGAAGTTAGTAGTTGCGGTCCGACTTTTGGCGCTGGGTGGCGAGGCGAGCGGCGCGCGCCGATCGCGGACGAGACGATTCGGCGCAGCTCGGCGCAGTCACTTGTTCCCTGGCGTGACGTGGCCACCTACGCAAGCGCCGCGGCGACCCGCTGTTCGGCGCCGAGCACGGCGAGGAGGTGGCCTCGATGGGCTGCCCCCGATGGGCTGCCCCCGGCACCGCGGCTGCGCGCTGCGCGGCAGGCGTCCGCTGCGGCCGCGAGCACGGGGACCGACGGGGACAGAGCGGCCCGCGCGAGACAGCCGCGCCGCCGGCTGGGGAGCGGCAGGGAGCGGGGAGCGGGCAGCGCGGTGGGGACGCGACGACGCGACGCCCGGAGGGGAGGCACAATAACTTCCCTGCCCCGCCGCGCTGCGCCGCGCCGTCCGGACTCGAGCCTCGAACGCCTCGAACGCACACGGGCATGCGCGGAGAGCCGCCGGCGTCCGCGCCTCCCCTCGGACGACGCACTCCACACCGAGATATGAGAATTGCCGAGGCGATGCCAACCCTACCCAAACCGCGCCCCTGGATCAGCTGCTGCTGTGATGAGCGCGAAGTGAGGCTGAGGGTCCCCTCCGGCCCTGCGCAGCCCTGCGCAGCCCTGCGCGCGCCGCGTACTCGTCCCTCCCCAGTGCCGCCTCGCGCCGCGCGCGCCGCGCATCTGAATGATCCCCAAGTAAATTTAGTGCAGTAGTCGCGGCGCGGACGCAGCGACGCGCAGCACAAGACGAGCAGCGGCGTCGCCGACACGCCGACACGGCCCAGCGCCGCCTCGCCGCCTCGCCGCCGTCCACCTCCTCGTCGTTGCTGTTCCCCTGGCCGCGGCGTCGCGCGCGCGCGTGCGTGGTATGCCCCGCGGGCGCGGTGGCACGCGCCGCGCCCCCCCGGAGGCACGTGGGCACGTGACCGTGGCGAGGGGAGGCGGGGCGGGGCGGGGCGGGCTCGCCGTGCGTGAGGAGCAGGCCTCGCTCCTGTATGGCCTACTCCCACTCAAAGCTGCCACGCTGGATTTTCATGCACGGCGCGCGCGCGGAGTGCAGTGTGCGCCGTCATGGCGGCCGCTCGCGGCGCCGCGACGCTCTCGGCGGCGAGGCGGCGAGGCAGCCTGGCAGCCCGGGCAAGGCTCGCGCGGGCTGTGGCTGCGGTGGCCTCATGGTGCCGTTGTGCGTCCTGCGCAGAGCGGGCACCGCAGCCCGTCAAGCTTCCCACCCCACAGCCCCGCGGTGTGCCACGGCCCTGCCGACCTGCCCTGCCGGCCGCGGCCCGGCGTTGCGCATGTGCGGGGCCTCGGGGGCCCCAGGGGCCTCACAGGGGAGACATAGGCCTCGCTTCCAGGCAGTGCCCGAGGATCGGGTCGACTTTGGCGTTGAGGCAAATTGAGAGCAGGCTGATCAAACAAGGTAGAACGTGATGTCGTCGTTGGGGCTCAGCTTGAAGGCGTGTACGAATAGCGGTGCAAGGCCGCGGGCCGCGGCGTCGGCAGTGCGCTACCCCGACGGGCCGACGCGGCGGGGTGGGGGCGGCAGGGGCGGCCAGGCCTCGGCCAGGCTGCGCGCGTCGCGTTGCGGCGTCGCGTTGCGGCGTCGGCACCCTGCAGCACCCTGATGCGCCGCGTCGCGCGCAGCCTAGAGCGCAGCCCACGGCCGGACCCCACCCCGCGTGGCCATGCTGGTGGAGGCCCAGGACTCGTAGACTCGTCGAGTCGTCGCCCCAGACCGGCCAGACCCCAGACAGCGGCACCAAAGCAGCGAGCGGAGCGGCGCGGCGCCTTGCCCTCGGCCTTGCCGCCATCGCCCGGCGAATCTTCTGCAGCCGCGCGGGCAGAGCCGGCGCGCTCGGCGCCGCGGCGCGCAGGTCCCCGATGACGGCGGCGTCGCGGCGTGATGCGCGCGCGCGCCCGGCCCCCGCCCTTCCCCCGCCGAGGATGGAGGCGAGGCTGGCGAGGCCCGTGGCCACGCATGAGCACCAGAGCCGGTGGCACCGGGCGCGCAGCTCGGCGAGGAGGACGACCACGAGCACAACCTGCCCCACCGCGCCCCGCCACCACTCCGTCGTGCCCCGCCGTGCCCCGCCACGGCCAGCCGCGAGCCTCTGCGCGGCTGCGCCGTTTAAACAGGGGAGGGGGGCAACTCATGCACGGACATGGAGTGAGCGGCGGTGAGCGGTGCCGGCGGGTGCCGGCGGCGGCGCCGAGACATGCCTGGCTATACTTCGGTTTCGGTACGGCTCGGTACGGCTCGGTACGGCGCGGCCGAGAGGCGGGCTCGGTCCTTAGGCTACCGAGTGGTTCCCTGGCCATCCAGTACATCTGGCTTCCAACAGACAGGATCGCACTGAATTGGATCCAAAAGCCCCACACCGAGCGAGAGAATAAGTTTCTCCTGTATGGACTGCAACACTGTGTTGAGCTGGATAGACTGCAGTGCGTCGCACTGTATCGGAATGGAACATGAGCCGCCTCGCTCTGCGCCGCTCGAACCAACAGCCACGCAAAACACAAAGCTGCTGCACTGGGCGGCCAGCATGCGCCCTCCACTGCGCGCGCTCCACTGCCTGGCCCGGCCTGGCCCGGCCTGGCCACCCACAGCGACACGGACGGGCCTAAGCGCGTCGGCACAGTTCAATCGGCTGCCCAAACAATTTAACGAAACAAGGAACGATCAGAAAGTGGAATTTTATCGAAGTTTTCCATTGTGACCCGTTGAAAATTGCGAAATAATTGTAGGGATTCGTCCGGGTATCGTAAGGCCCGGCGGCCATAGTGCAGGGCGAGTCCGCGCTCCACTACGCGCCGCTACGACGAGGCGAGCGCTGCAGAGCCCCGGGATCAGGACGCGGGCACGGCCTCGGCCACGGACTCGGCCACGGACTCGGCCACGGCCAGATTCCAATCAAGAAGACAGAAAACGACTTGAGGCTCAAAGCGCGTGGCACCGGCACCCCCACGCCTGGCCCACGTGCGGCGGCGGGACATCGTCAGCCCCCAGCAGACTGGCAGACGGGGTTCTGAGAGTCGATTTCGTCGCTTTGTCTCTCTCGCGTCTCTCTCATGGAACACCCCATGTGTGCGAGAGAGAGAGAGAGACAGAGAGATGAAGTCGACTCTCGGAATCAGTCTGCACCCTCGCCGGAAGGCGCCAAAATGCCGAGAAGGGAACCAATCTTGGCGGATTGAAACTTGAAATCCCAGCCCGCACTGGGAGATGCCGAGACGCCCTTGTCCTCGTCGCCCAGTTGGAAGAGGCGCCACGCGCCCAAAAGCTTGGCCGATGATTGCCTTTGGCAGATAGCCGGATCTCAATCCCACTCACCGGCCCCCTGAAGTCGTAGCCCATGCGCAGCGCGACGAGGCGCGCCACGCGCGGCCCGCCCTGCACGCGCACGGCCCACTCGTTGGTGAAGCGCGGGGCCTCCAGCGCCTCCAGCTCGTCCAGGCCGTCCGGGCCGTGCGCGCTCGCCAGCCTCCCCGACACCGCCAGCAGCCCCAGCAGCGCCACCAGCAGCACTGCAACAGGGCCACAGCAGAGTTAAAACACCGGCGCCTGAATAAATAGACACTTTTCAAGAATCATTTTATTATTACTGAAAAAAATGAGTGCAGTTTAATTTGAAGAGACTGCGTGCTTTTCCTGAGGGTCCTGACCCTGGAGCAGACTGTACTGTCTAGTCTGGTCCTGGCCTGGTCTGGCGAGTCGAGCCAAGGCCTTGTCTCGGGGTCACTACGTCACCTTCCTTAGGTGCGAGGCTCCTCAACGAGCCCCTTGACACTCCCACGCGCGGCACTCACACCGATACGCACCCACCACACACAGACACACACACCACACAACACACACACCACACACACACACACACACACACACACACACACACACACACACACACACCCGCGCACACGTGGAGCGTTCCCCGCCCCCAGTGCTTTTGCACGGCGCGGTGTGCACGCTCTCAGGCGGAAGCGACGCCACAGCCACAACACGTCGAGCCTAACCTTTTCCAGCCACGTCACCGAGCCACCCTTCCTCGAGGGAGGCAGGCCAGAGACCGGGACACCGGACTCGCCGGGACCGCGAGTAGCGACGCGACACTGGCCGAACGGCGGCAAGCTCTCATCAACGGATTGGCAGGTGCGGAGTTCAGAGGCGAAGAAGGTCGGCTTCCGGCCGCAGGAACTCCCTGCTTCTGAGTCCGCGAGGAACGCACGTGCGGGGCAGGTGTAGTGCTTACTGGCGCGGCGTCGAGGTGGCCTAGACCGGGCGGACGGACGAGGCGGATGGCACAGGTGGCGGCCGTCGGCCCCGGTCCGGGTCAGCCCCAGGTGGTGCAACCTGCAACCCCGGCAACCCCGGCCCGGGTCAGGCTCAATCGGCGCGGCTCGGCGACGGACTGAACGCATCGACGGCCCTGGGGGGTCTGGCGCTGGCGGTCCGCCGGCCTGCCGGCCTGCCCCCGGTTGCCCTGGTCTGCCCCACCGCGACGCGCGCCGCTTGGGGAGGCGACAACAGGGCGGGGCGGGCTGGGGCAGGGTGGGGTCGGGCGGGGTGGCGGTGGGGTCACTCAACAATATAACAGCCCCGATGAATGCCCCAGACGGCCGAGGCCTAGACGGTCGAGAAGCTGCATGAGGCTTGACCTTCCCCCGAACTGGAGCGCGAGAAGCCTCAGGACCGTCGCCGTCGTCGCTATAAGGAGCCGAATGTCGAATTCGCTTCGCCAACCTCGCCAACACAGTGCCGCCCAGGGCCGCCTTGCTGCGCCTTGCGCGTGCAACAAGGGCGCAGCGAGACGAGACGGGGAAGGGGGGGGGGGGGGGTCACGGTGACAGTGGTAATCAGGGGATTGGCCGGGATAAAAGGAACTTAGTGACTGACTGCGCGCTTTGCGATTCGTCTCCGCCTCGTCCGTGCACGGCCGTGGGCCGAATGCTGCGAAGTCCTTCTACGCAGTACGCTTCAAAGGTTACGGCAATGGACCGCCATTGGCCTTTTCCACGCTTTTTAAAAACTAATAAACAAGAGCTTTTAATTTGACGAGCAATTTATAGCAGGTGCTGAAACATTCTGCTTACTCCAACGTTGAACTTTGGCTGCCGGTACCTGACGCACCTGACGTAGCTGGTATTTATTCCGTGTTGCTCCGAGGCTCCGCGCTCCACGCAGCGTCGAAGGCGCGTCACCGTTCAAGTTTCCCGCCGGGAACGAGCAGCCCTGGCGCGAGGAGTATCGCTGGTCGGCGGCGAGGCCCCCTGCAGGCGACGCCGCGACGCCAGTCGGCCGCGCAGATACCCCGCGCCTCCCGCTCAAGTCGTGGAGTGTCGCTGCCGCAGGATAAGGAGGGGGGGGGGGGGTGCATGAGGTCCTCCAAGAAAGCGGTACACTTAAGCTTAGCAGTCACCACAGTCACCATTCAAAATACCACTGCAGTCTATAGGTTTGCGCTATGCTTAGTTTCTCTTTGAAGTGAAAATCTATTTCGAAGTGCGTTCCCAAAACATGATTTTTATTGAAGCGGTAAGAGAAAATATGGTTCATTCTGCCATCTCCAGTCACATGTGGAGTCCTTTATCAGTCATCTACTGCACTCACTTTCACTTCACATTCAGTCAAGAAGTCATTTGTTTAGACTGTAATGTCTCTTGAACGTCCCTCGGGGTCATCGGGCTCTTCAGTGGAAAAACCACAAACTTCTAGACAAGGATAAAATTTATTCTCTCAAATATACAACAATTATACAATAAGTACACTTCTTACTCCGAGGTAAGTACATCGCCAGTGCGTGTCAGCCTAGCTTTTCCAAAATACCTAATTAAAAAGGTACATCGTCTACTAAGAACTGATCAGACTTTCTCAATAAAAATATGACTCATACAAAGCGATTAGCCAGTAGATATATTTGGCGAACTCATAAACGGCTTCCATTTGAAAAACAAAACACAAACACAACCGCAAACATGACAGCTTGCCGCGGCTTTGCCGGCCCGCCCGGCCTGGGAGAGTTCTAGCGGCTGTGGCCAGCCCTGGGCCAGCCCTCCACTCCACTGCCCTTCCCTTCCCTCCCAGCCTTGCAGCTACTCAGCCCTATTTCACAGTGGCGGCCCGGGCGGGCTAATGGACGCCTCCGTTTCCGGGCCGTCCGTCCGCGCGGTCCGCGACAACAACTACTTGGAAGCGACACTCCACTCCACTTCACTCCGCGGTCGCGGCGGACTCCGCCACAGCCTCCGCCACAGCCAACTCCGTGGTGGTCAGTTCGGAATCGGTGGTTTCGTCTTGCGCCGCCGCGGGCGTTGTCCCCACGGCGTCGTCGGCGAGCACCAGCACTCTCGAGTCCGAGGGGTCGGCGACGGCGGCGCCCTCCACGACGGCCTCCACGTCGGCCTCCGCGTCCTCCGCGTTCTCCGCCTTCTCGCGCTGCTGGGGCAGCTCGGGGCTGCTGTCGTGTGTCTCGCGGGTCGGCGGCACGGTGGGGGGCGGTGCGATCGGCCCCGGCGCGCTCGGGGTCGGCGTCTCCGGGGTCGACGCCGTCACTGAGTGGTCCAGCTCGACGCGCAGCTTGGCCTCCTCGGAACAGTCGCACAGCGGGGCGCTCGGCTTGGTCAGAGGGAGCGGCGCAGGCATCGCGGGAGCCGACACGTACTTGAGCCCCTTTATCGAGGTGAAGACATCCACGTCCGGGACGGCAGGGCCGGCGGGGGCAGCGGGGGCGGGAGCGGCGGGGCGGGCTGGAGCGGCAGGGCGGGCTGGAGCGGGTGGGCGTGCTGGAGAGGGTGGGCGTGCTGGAGCCAGGGCCTGGGCGTAGGCGGCGTGCGGTGGCGGCGGCGCGAAGGCGGGTACGTAGGGCACGACGTACGACGGCGGGAACGCGGACGCCGGGATGACCTGCCTGTTGGGGTTGATGTAGGCGACGAACGGCGGCGCCGGGTTGAGGCGGGTCGGCGCCGTGGCCACGTGCGGCGACGGCGGAGACGGTGGCGCCGGCGGCAGCGGGGCGAGCCTGGTGGTCCCCTGCGCGGACTGGGCGGACTGGGCGGCGGGCATGAAGTCCGACAGGTCGTCCTGCTCGCCGCCGCCGCCCGTCAGCGCATTGTCCACCACCTGCGGAGGAAGGCCGCGGAAGGGGAAGCCGCCGAGGCCACCGAGGCCACCGAGGCCGCCGAGGCCGCCGAGGCCGCCGATGCCGCCAAGGCCCCCGAGGCCGTGGTGTCCGAAGGGCTTGTGCAGGCCGTGCAGGCCGAAGGGCTTGTGCAGGTACAGGTGCGGCAGGTGCATGAGATGCAGCAGCGGGAAGAACGGGTGGAAGAACAGCTTCCCCGTGCCCACGCCGCCCGCGCCCTCGTGCGGCGACATCACGAAGGCGTGCGGCGCCGACACCGCGGGGGCGGGCAGGTTAGCCACGACCTGGAAGGGAAACATGTTTCGTAAACACCAGAACGTGAAACACGCGGCGCACAGAGGTACACGGACCGCGTGGCCGCGTCGGCTGGGCACTGCGGGGCCCACGGGCCGCACCGCACTGGGCAAGGCACTGGGCAAGGCACTGGGCCAGTGGACCGTACACTGCACCGTAAGGAGTGATAGCCCAAAACGAGGCCCAAAAGACAACAAGGACCCGCTATGCACTTGACGCTCCGATCGGTTGACAGTTTAAAAGGGTTCAATGGAATGTTATGCGCCGCGCTGGGCTACGCTGGGCCAGCATGACGATGGTTATCGCGTCTCTGGACCACTGGGGAACAACTCGCCCGGGGGGTCCAGGAGGGAGGGGAGGGGGGCATAAGGAAACCTGTCATTACACGTTTTAAATATATCGCGGGGCATTAAAGTGTTTGTACAATAACGACGTGCGGGTAAAATAAACATTTTGAGGGTTCGGCGTTTATAGTTCAAACGACGTAATGGCTCAATAAGTGACGAGTCCCGCAGCGAGTATACGCATCGGCGACCGTAGCGACGCCAAAACCGCGGCAGGTGGACGCTCTGTGTGCCGAGGCATGCTAAGGGGTGCGTGTTGACGGAACGAATCAGGTGGAGCCAGGGTCGACGCCAGCAAACACGAGGACGCCGTGGCGGCGCCGAGTGACAGGTGTCGGGGGCATCGCCTCCTGCCTCTTCGCCGCCGATGTCTGTCAACGTCAAGCCCCCCACGCGGTCAGCTTGTTCACGAGGGCCGCGGTGAAGGCGGTGGAGGCGCTGAAGGCGCTGAAGGCCCTGGAATGCTACTCACCGACATGACGCCGAGAGCCTGGAGCAGAGGCGTGCTGCGTGAGTCCTGGAGTCCTGGAGTCGCCGGACAACTCGACTGGAGCGGCGCGACTCAACTGGCAGCTGCGTGGCTGCGTGCGCTAGACGGCCACACGGCCACTGGGGCCCTTTGGAGGGTCCGCTGCAGGTCCGCTGCAGGTCCGCTGGGCCCGGGCCGGGAGAAGGGCCCCTCGCCGTGGTCAGATCATTTTGATGCACCCGCCGCAGCATCCTGTGTACCGCCTCCCCCCCTCCCCCGGGCCTCACCTAGTGCCCTAGGCCCGGTACGCCCCCCTCCCCTTTCCCCTGCCCGACGCCGGATGACTCCATCGCCGCGTCCTTGTCGGCCCAGCGGCTTGCCAGCGGCCAGGTAGTAGTGTTGCGTCCAAACTCGGCCTGCGGTAACTTCGGGGCGAGAGGGTTATAAACAACGCGTCCCACAGGGCCTGCCCCTCGGCCTGCCCGGGCTGCCGATACGCCGCGCCGACCGTGCTCTCCCCGCCTCACCTGCCTCCCGCGCCGCAGGTCAGTGACTCCGGTACTCGTCCGCCCGGCGGCGGCCCTCACCGCCCTCGCCGGCCTCGCCGGCCCCACGAGTCAGAGACGGAATCCCTTTGGCTGCCTGGGCCGTGGCCGTCTTGGCCGGGCCGGGCGCCGCTAATGAAAACCAGCCCGAAACGCGGCGTCCACGCCGAGATTACCCGGTCGGTGGCCGACCGTCCCAAGTCCCAAATCTCCATTGGGTTTTCGAATTTCCCGCGGGCGCGTTCGCCGCTGCACTGTCACCGACAAATCGCAGTCCGGTAATCGGCAAGGCGGCGGCGGGCGCGGGGCACGGGGATCGCAATTGGGGCCGCATCGTGTTGGCGTGGCGTGGCGTGGCGTGGCGTGGCGCGGCAGGGCGTGGCGCGGCAGGGCGTGGCGTGGCGCGGCAGGGCGTGGCGCGGCAGGGCGTGGCGTGGCGCGGCAGGGCGTGGCGTGGCGCGGCAGGGCGTGGCGCGGCAGGGCTAGGCAGGGCGTGGCGTGGCGCGGCAGGGCGTGGCGTGGCGCGGCAGGGCGTGGCGTGGCGCGGCAGGGCGTGGCGCGGCAGGGCGTGGCGTGGCGTGCCGCGGGGGTGGTGGCTATCGGGACTGTCTGGTCGGGGACGGCCACGGCAGGCTGCTCGCTGCTCTAAAGTGTTTACTGAGTCGCTCTGCTCTGCTCTCGCTCTGCTGTGCTGTCGGGGCGGTTCGTCGCCAATGAGATGCAAATTCGTTCGTTTGTTGCTTGTTGGAGTAGATCTCGTTCGAGTTCGCAAATGGGAGGATGCAGCACGCGGGAAACTTTATCTGGGCGACCTGGCGAGGTGGCCGGGCTGGGCTGGGCAGCAATCCGAAAAATCGTTTTGTCCCTGCGTCTCTCTCGCACCCCTACGGAACGACGCGCGAGTGCAACAGAGATAGAGCAGCGAAACGATTCTTCGCAATCAGTCTGCAGCAGTGCCGTCCACGCGCCACGCCCCACTCCCCACCCGGCTCGCGGTCCCGGAGCCACTTTTGCCGACCCACCCGTTTCCCTCCCACACTCACAAACTCAAGCGCTCTCACAGTCACACGTTTACACACACACACACACACGCACGCACGCCCACATCTTTGTGGTCAAACGTCTTCTAGTGGCGACAATGTGCCACTTCCACAAAAATTTGAGCTCCACAGCAAGGCAAGAGAGAGAGAGAGAGAGATTACCTTGTGTGGAGCGGCCACCGCTCCCCCAGTGACTTTGAAGAGCTTTCTCTCTGAATTTTTTCCGGCCCACCACTTGGTCTTGGTACACACGAACTGCCCCCTCGCCAGGCTCGCCAGCGTGCAGTAGGCTGCCTCTAGAATGGCCAATTAGTCCCGCGGTGCGCGTGTGTGTAAAACTGTGTGTGTGTGCGTGCGTGCGCGCTCGCGGGGGTGAGTGTGAGTGTGTAGAGGGGCCTTACCTGAGGCGCGAGCATCCTCCCGGGGCCTGTGCCGGGCAGGCGCTCGTCTGACCGCCGCTGGTCTCCGGGGGCGTTTGCCTGGTTTGCCGAGGCCACGTTTTATCGGTGGGGTTGGCAGAGGATAGGAAACCCATGTCTGGAAATCCACCAGACCATACAGCTAAAAATGAAGCGCATCCTGTAGCGTTTTACCATGATTTTATAGTTAGAAGAAGAGCGTCACAGTCGAGACGCCAGAGCTTCACAAGAGCGTTGCAGCGCGTCCAAAGACAGACCGAACCCAGGGAAGTGGCTAAGAAATGGAAAAGTCGACGAATCGGGGTTTAGTTCGGCGGCACTGCCCTTTCTTGCGTCGAGGCCGGAGACAGCGGAAACTCGATGCGGCCGATCCCTGGCCGTTCGCCCCCTCATTCAGGTCTTTTTATTCCCTTTGAGCGTTGACGCACACGTGCACAGGGGCAGGCCAGGGCAGGCCAGGGCGTGTGGCACGCCGCGGCACGCCGCCTGGGATTGCCAGAGCGTGGCACAGCGTGGCTCGGCGTGGCACGGCGCCGCAGCAGCCTGCAAGCACTGCAGGGCGAGCCGACTGCAACCCGGCCACCCCGGCACGGCACTACGTGAGCTGCTTACGGCCCAGTGAGTGCGTCCCCAGTGGGTCCGAGCCCGCCCCGTCCCGCCCGCCCCGCGGCCGGCCGGCGCCATACGGCACCGTATTATGGCCGTCCCGTTGACCCGCACCCCGTGCGGCACCCCGTGCGGCACCCCGTGCGGCAGCCCGAGCCCAGGCCGTCAAGCGAGGGATAAAGAATATTATCGAATATCGGACGTGTATCGGACACCGCCAGGCTTGCCGGCGGGCGCGAGTCCGCGACGGCTGGGACGGCCTCACGGCCTGCCCGAAGCTCCCCGTCATTGACAACTTAAAACATGTTTTGTCGGGGATTTTTTCGTCAACGAGCACGGCGCGGTTTTTTTTTTTGACAGCCCCATTTAATTTTTTCAGCCAAGCTTTCCACCCCGCAGTGGTTGATTGTGTGGGCTGGCTAACCCAGCCGCACCACTGTTTCGCTCACGCACGCGTAGTTTTCAACTTGCCAATGCCAATAACCGCGGCGAGGCGTTTGACGGCGGTAACGGCGAGGCCTCGGGCGAGGCCGGCGAGATCGGCGGCCAATTTTGACTCGTAAATCAAGGGGGCGCCGCGTCCGCTGCGCCCGCTGCGTTTGTGCAGGAACAGATGGACGGAAACTAGCGGGAGGGGAAAATATCGAAATCCCTGGGCGTCGCGGGGCTGGGCCGGCCCGGCGTGGCCTGGCGTGGCGTCGGCGGAGTGGTCTATGGCGGCGCGGAGCGCGGAGGGTGGAGAGAGACCAGCAGCACATATTTCAGGAAGCTATTCGGAAAGATTAAAAATAGAATCGGAGGAGTGAGCAACAAATCTTCTCAATAGCTCTAGGAAATGGAGATGGGCAAGTGATAGAGGATGATGCATCCACGCGCGGCCGCGCCGGGGCCCTCGTCCTAAAGCCTCGGCCAGCCTGGGCCGTGGGGGCGGGGTGCAGCCGGCCAGAGTGAATTTCAAGTGAATTTTCCAGACGGCGACCCGTCCCTGTCTCGCGACATAGATTTTCGGTGTATAAAGAGAGGGGAAAATAAAAATCAAACGCGAAAAAAAAGTGGGGGCAGTGAAAGGAAAATGAAAAGATAAGGAAACGGGATGAAAAGGTGGCGGAAAAGGTAAATGGGCTATTCCAAGGAGCAGCACCCGCACCAGCCAGCAGCCGGGGCCGGGGGAGGCCAGGGCAAAGTTGAATAAAATGGGTGCGTGTGAGAGAGACAGAGGGAGCCTTGTGCGACTGATGGCGTGGACTTGGGCGTGGACGGCGGCGGCTGGGCCTGTCTTTTTACCCGGGCCCGCCCGGGCCACCCTGCGGTGGCCAGTCCGGGTAGGGGCCTGATTGTCGTCCTATCCCGGCGCTTCTCGGAGTCTGTCCCGCCGCGACGCCTACCCGCCTGGCTAGAAGAATGAAATCTGAGCCCGGCCCGCCGGCCCGCCGGCCCGGTCCATCCCCTTCGCTGATCCCCGAGGCGGGGCGCTGCTGCTCAGCTTAGCGGCCGAAGCCCCCGAGAACCTTTTGCATCCCCGTTCTCTTTGTTTGCCGACCATTCCCAACTTAAATCATAACCTTGAATCAGGCCAGGCGGGCAGGACGTCGAGGAGGCCGACATGCGTCTCAATGAACGCCCCAAATTAAAGCTCCATTACGGCCAGTGTCCGAGCCAAACGCGCTGGCGAACTTGGGCCCGCTGGTGCGTATGGCCGAGGGTGCGCAAATTTTCGACTAAGGAGTAAATCTTGAAAATAGCTGAACCAGCAGCGACCCTCTGCCAGCCAGCGCCGTGTACTTAATAACAACAAGGTAACATCCGTAACTCTGAATTAACACACTGCAAATAAATTTGAGTTGCAGCAAATGAAGTGTTATGGTTTTTAGTGCCTGACAGTCGAGTTTACAACTTAGTGAATCAAAATAAATGGAAGCGCAATTAGGCGCGTACTGCAGTAAACGTTTCAAGATTCGGCGACAAACACGGCGAAAAGCCTTTTACTTGTGGCGAAATGAACTCCGTTTTTCTCCCAGTGCAGCGAAAGGGCATAGGATTAAACCGATTTCCGCGCGACACGATTCTGTGATTTTTCCAATTCCAGCTTCCCATTCCCTCTCCGGCCTACCGTCCGACCGGCCGCGCGCCTTGCAGTGCAGTAATAAGCCGCGCTTAGGCAGCATGGGGGGCGGCAATAAGAATAGCTGCAGGGGGCGGCGGGGGCGGCGGGAGCGGCGCGGGGACTGCAGGAGCGGACTCACCCATCTGTTGTATCGAGCACAGCTAGCGCCGCTGGAAACACGTCCAGGACCTTGGGCCCAGTTCCTACTCGTTTCGAAAAGAGGGTGAAAAAAAAGGGATAAAAAAAAGAGGGGTTGAAAAAAAGGGCGATCGGAGAAGACGAGAAGCACGGCGAC